GTAACAAGGCATGTCAGGCCTGTCATGGTTTGGATTTGTAAACATGTTGAAGTGATGTAAATGGTTTGGTGGGTGATTTTTTTAAAAAGTCTTCCATAAACCATAAAGACAAGTTGCAAAGTGTAAGGAATTGATTAAACAGTGAGTTTACCTGCTCTAATGTAAGCTGCAACAAGTCTGGCTAACTAGCTTACTACCAGTAACAGTAACTGAATCATACTTCCCACATCAGTTTGTGGGGTTACAGGTAGCACAAAAAAAGCCATACTTGTACTACTACTAACTAGCTCTGCACTGCAATACAAGCACAATACTGCACCATTAACCTGTGAGGATGCTGACCTTTTGCCCGGGACATTCAGATTTAGCCTTTAGCCTGACTTTTACCCTGACAACATGGAGGCTGCCATTAAGTTATTGTTAATGATGCTTTTACAGGGTTTCCATTTTAAAATGAGTCACCTGGAAATACCAGGAAGTCATCTGGAGCGAATTGTCAAATGACTCATGGAGCCGATGTTAGCTTAATTAGCTTGTGATAAATGAGCTGCTGCAACAGTTATCATTTCAGCTGACAAATCCACAGCTACGGACTACAAATAAGAATCCTGCTTTTGTATGCCACTTCCTGAAATTAAGGATGCATCGTTTTAAAAATTAAGAAGTTTTGCATTCATAATCACTGTAAACTGCACATGTTGTGCTAGGACTGAAAGCCGGACAGGCATAACAACAGTTAGTAAAGAAGCACAGCTTAGCAACTTATTTTTATAAGAGCTGTGTGTCCAACTTGTTGAAGATGGCATGTTAGACACATCATTCCTACTTTTTTCCTTCCTTCTGACCTTTGGGATGGAGTGATGGAGCATCACCAGACAGATGAATGGATGAGAGATGGCAGTGGTGAGGGGAATAAAAGAAAACAAAAAAGAGGCTCGCTGCCAGCTGTTTAGTGCAGTACCTTTGCTCTGGGAGTGAGGGAGTAGAGAAGAGAATGGCGACACTCACCTCCTTGCTTACTCCTGTCAAGATAGATGGAAACCCTTCTGGCCAGACCTGCGAGCAGGAGGTGGGGGGCAAATGGAAGATAGGGGAGGAGGAGGAGGGAAGAGAGCAGGAATGCAACAAAGCAAGCAACAAATTAGCAAGGACCCCTGTGCATGCAAACCCACATGTTCACACACTTAAAAAGTATGAATTCATGAGTATACTCCACATGCATTCAAACAGCAGAGGGGTGAACAAGGCTGCTGTTTCCCAAATGACTAACAGTTATATTCTGGGATCAAAGAATGAAAGGAGAGAGACTGAGGCGTGAGCTGAGCTGCTGCCTCTGCATTATGAACAGGGGCTGGGGAAGCTACACAGGGTCCCCAACCTCCAAGCCTGTAGGACACAGAATCCCAAATCCCTTCACAACATGGCAAAAAGCAGGCAGGGTGGAGCTGCTGCTGCACTAGAGAAGATGTGTGCGGCTAATAAATCAATTCATTTAATTACACCAAATAACGGGTCAGTGCAGGATGTGTTGTTGTGGAGCTGTACATCATGTGGCAAACTGCTTACTGCCTTGTTCAGCCTCGCTCTTGAGGGGGAACAAACACAAAACAATATCAAAGACCCAGCAAAGTAACAAGAAGCCAGACAAGGTCTGCAGAGATGGTTCACTGATGAAAAACAGCACACAAGCATGTTATTGGACGACAGGGACGGGATGAGGGAAGACAGGTTGTGCAGGTGTGTGTGTCTGTGTCTGAGCTTGTGTGTCTGCTGGCATCTCCTTGAGAAACGTTCACAATCCTGTAACAACTGCCTTTAGAGGCAGAGGAGCTTTTTGCCAGCACAAAGACAGACTTGTGTAATATTTCACTGAGTTTTACATTATTAATGCAGCTGAGGCAATGCTAAAAATCTGAAAAATTCAAAACACAAACATATAATTATTGTACTCCATCTGAAAGGCATTCCAAGTAATGGTAATAACACTAAACTGATTACTGAGCCAGGAGGGGTGGGGGTAAGTGTGAATGCAATAGGAAAAACTGAGCGTGTGTGTGTTTGTGTGTATGTGTGTAAGTGTGTGTGTGTGTGTGTGTGTGTGTGTGTGTGTGTGTGTGATTGCAGATGTTTTTGAAGTTTTCTGCCAAGTTTAAAAAAAAAAAATATCTGAACACCATTAGTTGAAGCTGGACTCTTCAGTAAAACTTTTTCTTGGAAAGATGTCAGTCGAGTGGCAGTTTATATTAAAATTGATGCCTCGGCTCTCATCTGACTGAAGCACTGAATGAAGTTACACAGCGACTGTCACGAACCAAACATCCAGGATAACAAGCACACCATTAAATGTTAAAGTCTTAGTGAAAACAAGGCTTTGGCTCACTGTGGGAGAATCCTCCGCAGAGGAAGAGTCTCTCAGCGCTATTTTTGTTGAGAGAGTCACACAGACAGTGATGGTAGTTAACTGTGTCACCTCTCTGTGGGTCCCCACAGGGCTCTGGTGACTCTGTGGCTTTGTAATGATGGAGACACATATGTGCACACCGCATGTGGTCCATACCTCTGCATAGATATCCAGTCAGCCAGTGAGCCAGCCAGCCAGCCTGACAGCTTGGCTCTAGTTTCTACCAATTATACAAATATGTGTCTTATTGTATGTGAGACATGCTCTAAAACTGCTATCTGGAAGTTGTCCACCCACACAAAACTTATTGTGCTCATGCCAATACGCAAGGTCACAGATCATTTTAAAACTTTTTCAAAACAGACAAAAGAGCACTAGTTAATTATTGCATTTTCTGAATAGGTAATTAAGCACTCGGAGAAACATGCAATCTCTCCTACAGCTGTCACAGTTTCTCCAAAAACTTCCCTGTCCCAGAAAAGACGGCTGAGAAATGCTCGAGGCAAAAAATGTGGAGCAGTGGAGAGAGTTAAGAGAGAGAGAGGGAGTGGGCAACCCTGCACAACACAGAAGTGGGTGGGTGTCTCTGACAAGTGTGTGCTGTAGGTGTCAGGCCTGGTTCAAATATTTGCAAATAACTCTGCCTCACAAATTATGGAAGTGTGTCAACGCATGAGGTAAACACTGCAGAGAATCCACCGGTGTCCACAGTCTGAGTCTAAAATGATCAATGATATTACCTCAAGACAAGCAAAGAATGAGTAATAACCTGTTGCAGCTCATGATTCATTTTGTGGTCTTGAATAAAGTGACTGTGTGTGGGCCTCCCAACAGGTTAGACTCGCCTCCAACTTTGTCAGATATGACAGGTGTGTGACAGATATGGCAGATGTGACAGTATAGGACAGGTGGGGTTGGTAACAGGCTTTAAATTAGCATGAAACTTGCTGTGAGTGATGGAACTAAACTCAGACTCGGGATTCAAAACCTGTCGCCACTGTGGCAGAAACAACCTGCAGCAGGTTGGAAGCTGTCTTGAACTCTGGCTTCATTTTTCATTTTATTCCATCGGGTCAAATCAGTTAATGTTAGGATAGAGTGTCACATACTCTGCTGGACTTAATGGTGTAGTGGTCTGGCCTGTGTGTGCTCATACATACTGACCTGCTTTTTTTTTTGACAACCCACTGTGTGCTGCCACTGGAATCTGACATGCCGTATTCAGTAATCAGAGTAGCTCTCTGGTTGGTCGGCAGAGGTTCAACATCTGCTACTTTCAATTGTTTTGACAATTTTTTTCTTCACAAAAAACTTCAGGATGAATACACCTTTATATAAAGTAGCTCACTTCTATGGTAATTAAGACATATGCTGTGCTTTTGCAGTCAGTGAGCGTTACAGTTTGGCTGAGTCTGATAGGGTTGGTGGGCTCTTCCAGTAACTTTGTGGCTATTGTCCCATGGGTTGAAGTTTCTGCTTTCATTCAGTGATTAAATTCTGACTTTCAAATCAACTACGTACAAATAGGTTTCTTTCTTTCAAAAATATTGATACATGATTTAATTTTCAACACTGCAAAAATAATAATAAAATAATAATAAAAAATAATAAAAATACTCCCTTACTCAGTTTAATCCATTAAGGGTTTTTTCATAAGTCCAAACGCAACTGTCTTATTATCATCTATTTAAGTCAGAAAGAGCTGAGCGGAGGTGCGGTTGTGCATGGGAATACTGTAATTCAGCTTTTTGATGGCAAGATAAAGTAAAATAAAAAATAAAAATATTCAAAATATAGCAAACACTTCAACTGATATCAGCTTTTCCTTTAATTTAATTATTTTAAGCTTTTCATTTTTTTTTGTAGGTAGCTGACACATGTTTTGTTGCTGATGCCGTCCACAGCAGCACACCGCTCAGCTTCCGTGCAGGTATCTCCGGCTGCTTCTCCAAACTGAGAGCGCATCTGAATCTACTCCAGGTAACACACTAACTGTAGATAAGTGGCTAATGATTGCTTTTTGTCAGTGAACTTTAGGTTTCTAATTCTATTGTGGCTGATATTTAACTAACTTTATGACTTTTTCTCCTTGCGCTAATGTTTGGCTACTTTTTAGAGTTATGCTGTAATTGTCAACTTGGTTAGCTAAGGTTACAAAGGCTTTAGGTCAAATAGACTTTAAAGTAACGACATTTACAAACAAGATGTTTAAGAACTCGTCTCAGAACTAAATACCAAAGCTAAGTCTAGATTTTTACCAGATAAAGTTTCAGACCGTTTACCAAAACACCCATTCAGTACTAAAGGCTCAAATGGTCCAAAAAGCTGCTGCAGTTAAAAGTCGTAGGACTGAAAACTGGATAGTTCAGCAAAAGCACTGGGAAACAAGAAAATGCAGCCAACTCCCGTCCTACCTGGTTGTTCTGTGGGTGGGGAGGTGAGGGGAATACAAGTGGGATGGGGTGGACAGTGGGGCAGTCAGCGAGTTATTACAAGGTATTACAAGGATTGCTGTGAACCGTGGGAGTATGGGTGGGTGGGGGGGCACATAGTAATATAGAGCATTGATCTTTACTGTGAGCGCTGGCAGAGGGCTGACCTCGGGTAGTGGGCAGCATGTCGGAGAGACCCTGCCACGCCGTCACCATCTCCGGGTTCTTCTGGTCAGCGAAGTTCTTCCAGATACGTAACGCTCCATCATCTGGAAAGAGGCGAAGAGGTGGTGGATGGAGGCAGACAGATACAGAGAAGGAAGGAAAGAGCGAGAGTCAGGAAAGTAAAGTGGATAAAAAGATAGAGCGAGGAGCAAAGGCTAACGCCAGGAGGAGGTGCAGCGCACAGACCCAACACTCGTTTGTATTCATAATGGATTTGGAGGCGCATGTTGATGTGATGAAAACCTTGAACTCCAACTCTTTAAAAACATGAAACACACATGTGACTTGACCATGAACACACACATACACACACTCACGTAGAGCGTAGAGCAGCATCTCTGCCTGAAAACGTTTCGTCAGTGAGAAACAAAACGAAGCAGGAGTTTCTAAGCCTGAAAACCTCTGTCTGAACAGTGTAGCTGACACCGAGCTAAGACACCGAGCTAAAGATAAAACATGTCCGTGCACTCTTATGAGGAAGCCATTACAATCCATAAAAGTCTCCACTTGATTTACATTCAGTGTTTTACTTTTCTTTTTTTTTTTTTTTAATGGTGTATATTTTTTATAGCTACTTTCTTCCTTGATATCCTTCAGAGCACGCCTGATGGAGAGAAGCTGAATAAGTGCACATTATATTTTGATGAGATGGAATTTAAATGTATTAATTCCTGAGCTTTTATCAAGGTTTCAGGAGGTGTGCGATGAAATACAGCGTTCATTCTCAGTTCAATGTAACAACGACAACACAAAATAAATGTGTCTCTGTGCAGGTTTTAATGCAGAGTTGTTTCCTACACTTCCTCTGTGTTATGAAGATAAAGCCATGGAGGGTAATTGCTTTGTTCTTTTGATGAATGATGATGAATACACATGAGTGTTTTGTGTGTGTGTGTGTGTGTGTGTGTGTTTGTTTGTGGGGGTAAGAGTCAAGTGTTTAAGGCTTGTTGCTGCTACAAATGAGTCTCTTTGTGATTTCCACTGTGGTGGTGGGCGTGAACATTTGAGCTGCTCACTAAAAGAAAACTGCACTCTTTCACTAACTTGAGTTTTTACTCTGTGTATCACTGCCTGCTCTTGACTTTTCCATGTAAGTGTGTGTGTGTGTGTGTGTGTGTGTGTGTTTGTGTGTTTCAAACCTGTGGCAGTGAGCAGTAACGAACAGTCATGTCCGTTCAAGTACTCCATAGCTGTGATGCGAGTGTAACGAGGGTTTCCGTTGTAGAAGTAGTCCAGTCTCTCGCCCTTCTCCCAGTCCCAGAAACTACAGCAGACATACAAACATATTTCATTTACATTTAAAACCATTGGATGTGAAACTGATTCATTTACGTAATGGTCCCCTTGATATAAAACTGATTTTCTTTTTCAGCCTTGAGTGTGTGTTATGTGTCCCTGACCAGATGCTGTCCTTGTCGGCCACGGCAATGCAGGTGTTGAAAGGGTGGAACTTCACAACAGACGGTACTCCAGGGTTACGGTTGATGAATATTTGATCATCCAGACGGGAAACACCTGTAATGGCGGAGGGGCCAGAACGACAGCGATTGTAAAAAAAATTGCCATGTGATAGACATGCACACTGAAAGAAGGTCTCAGTATCTCCTGCTTACTCCTGCTTTTGTATGTTACCAAGCTGCCTGCTAGTGATCAAAATGGAAGCATTAATACTGCAAACCCAGTTTCATGACTTAACCTGCAGCTGCATGTATAGTTATGTCCAAGAACACTGAAGATGCTGCTCAGGGGGTGTTAGCACTTCTGGTTCCCTTGTCCTGAAGTTTAAGTTTTGAATGGGCTTTAGATTGGATGGCTGAAAAGGGTTAAAACCAGCTCAAGACATTTTCACATTTTTATTCTACAACATAAAATACATCAGTAAATACCCCAGTCGTGATTTTTTTTAAAGCTTTTACGTCTCTTAAAAAAAGGTTGGTTACTAACAAGTGTCTGAGTGAGACTGCAGAGGTTGTCCAAGACATTAAACGTCATCACGTTGAACATGAAAACTGTTCTACTCAGCCCATGTTAAAATCCCACTGGCTTTTTGTCGAGGGAACCAGGGTGACGGTAACTTCCAGGTCAACTGGCTATTTATAGTGAATGTGTGTTAATTATGTTGTTGGTTATTGCCTTAAATACTTTAATCATCTCCAGTTCAGATCTCAGTACTGCTCTCATCATGATGTAACATTAACATGATGTGTGCTCGTCTCTCAGTGCTTTCTGACTTCCAAAACCCTGTCTGGTAGAGAGCCAACTGGTTCCTACTGAAAACATGAAGCTTTAAAAATGGGTCACAAATATATAGTTTACTTAATAATTTCCTAAAATATCTGGACAGGAGGAGGACCAGGAGGAAATAGTTGGTTTCTTGGGGACTATTTTCAGCAGTGGATTAATACACATTTGTTGTTCTACTGAGTTTCCAGAGGCTGGATGCAGGATGATGTATGTGTGATTCAGTCAAAATAACGATGTGTGTGTTCATTGATGTGTTTTTAATGAGGTTTATAGCACAGAGGAATAATATATGTCAGGCTTTGGCTACACAGGCAATGACTGTAATGTTATTGCTGTTTTTGGTTTGTTAACAGTAATAAAACATGAGCACCGCCTCGTACATGAAAACCTGAAAACTTGTTTGATATTATTAGAGGGTCTGGACGCAGAATTCTCCAAAGCAACATAAAATCTATCTCCCAGCATTAACAGCAAAGGCCGTACTCCTGCTGAAACTCAGTCTATACATGTGCATGCTTACTTCAGAAAGGCCTACTTTACAATGATGACATTCTTAAATACACTGTCTGTAATTTGCTGTTACAAATATATTTCCTAAATCAAGACGAAGCCAGATAATGTCAGTGGGGAAACCGGCTTAATCCGTGGCTGCAAATATGACAGGAAAGAACAAAGGAAAGAACACAACAGAAATGAATAAAAAGGCATCTATAACACGCTTTTAAAACTGGAATGAATGACGGATTGTGTGAGCTTCACAGCCTTGCCAGGGTGTTGTTAAAAAAGAAAAAGGAAGTGAACATTTGACACAGTACGAGGTGGTGAGAAAACCTGTCCGGATGTGTACCCCTTTGGCGGTTTGTGATACGAGTGTAACACGGTGCCAACACGCCAGTGCTACTCGTAAGTTCACTGCCTCACCGTATGTTGTCATGGCAACAACACACGTCGGTCCTCCAGCCTGTCCTTGGCTACCTGAAAGCACTCGAGACCACCATAATGAGATGAAAAAGAATGAGGAAAAAATCCATCAAGAATTCATCACGGATGCAGCCGTGATGTAAAAATGCAGTTGGAGGGAAAAGTAGGTACGAGCGTAAGATTATCATCATCGATTTGCTTTCGTTTGTGTTGTTTGACGGCACAATCAATATGGAACTATTGTAAAATCTGAAATGATGCTGAGCAGCATGGTGATGTGGTTAATTTTGCATCAATACGGGAAGAAAACACAAGTGAAACCAAGTTCACAAACTAAAATATTTCTGTATATTTCTTATTCTGAGCTTTTGCTGCCTCCTCGTCTCCGTCTCCGTCTCCCTCCATCTCGCCCTCTCTCCTCTCGTCTTGTTTCTCTCTGGAGGGAACAGACTGAATGAGGGCAACCCTACTACTTCTCTCTTTCCAAAAACTGTGAGGATAGAGGGGAATTCAATGATTTAGCGAGCAGTCAGAAGGAGAGGGAGAGACATGCGCGTGAGCAAGCCTCAGCTCTGACGCCAATTGCCTTGTGACTGTGTGTGTGTGTGTGTGTGTGTGTGTGTGTGTGTGTGTGTGTATGTGTGTGTGCATGTGTGTGTGTGGAGGGGGCTGCCAATGACGTTGGGGGTGTTAGATATTCTGTTTGAGAAAGCTCTGACTTCACTTGGGGAGTCTGTGTGTATGCTGGCACCCTGGGCTCTTCAATGAGTGGGCTTGTATGTCTGAGTGTGTGTTGTATGTTTGAGAGTGTGTGTGTGTGTGTGTGTGTGTGTGTGTGTGTGTGTGTGTGTCTGAGTGTGTGTTGTATCTTTGAGAGTGTGTGTGTGTGTGTGTGTGTGTGTATGTGCATGTGTGTGAGGGGAGTCCTGTGATTGATGAATGGGGTTGTGTTTGACTATGGATTGATATCAATCAACTTCTCTCATCACTGCAAATCATCTCCACGCTCGCTCACAGGCCTGACACTGAGCAGTACTAACGGTGTTTCCCAGTTCGGCCTTTTTTTTTTTTTTTTGGACAGTCTGGATTCCCCCCAAACTCCTCCTTCATCCAGGCTCCAAAAACATTCAATTAAACATGATACTGGCAGAGCTTGTGCTCTGAGATCTCAACACAGTATTTGACACCGCTGACCACAGACTGACTGTAGTTGTGTGGAGTTGCTATATACAACACTGAATAAATAAACACGGTTGTGCCACAGTTCTCTGAAGCTACATATAGAGATAAATAGATGTGGTTGATGACAAAGTGGTAACACACACCTGAACCACAATCCAGCCCCAAAATCCTTGACAGCCACATCAGTCTATTTTCATGATATGTATGTGAACAACTAGCTCATGTTAAATACACCACTTTTTTTTTTCTTTTTAAACTTGCAGTGTTTAATTTTCTTGGGATCACTTCGGGGTAAAAGAAGCTTTAGACACACCTGATCCAAAGAGCAAACGTTTTCCTATTTTAACAGCTAGCAGACACAGAGCAATGTTAGCTACCTGGAGTTTCTGTTGTGTTTTGCTTTGTTTCTGTCCACCTGACAAACTGAAGACCAATATTCATCCTCCTGTTAGCTTTTGGTTCTCCAGTGATAAAAACTATAGTAAATCATTAGCGTGTTCCTTTCTTCACTTGGTAACTTTGTTTGTCTGTTGTTGTGTGCTGGGCAGACAGCGCTCTGTCAGCTTATCAGATGTCTGTGTTACTTTTAGCTGCTGCTGAAAATGAGGTTGTGAGGTAAAAACAAGTATTGAGAGAATGTGCCATCAAACCAAAACAATGAGCTAAGAGAGGCTCATACACTCCACAGACCTATAGACACTTACTTATTTGATCCATTGTGAGCTTTAATATGTATGCATGTTTTGTTATCATATTAAATATACTGTACATGTTTCATCTTTTTTAAGAACAGTATACCTCTCATTTCTTCAGCCTCTTATTATTCTATTTTCTCATGCTTCATTATCTCTATGGTCTTTGATGCTGTGTGTGTATGTTAATCACACTGAACTGCCTTGTGGATAAAATGTGCTCCATTAATAAACTTGGCTTTTATAAAACATGAGAGCAGTCATGTCATTTAATGGCAAGTAGATTAAAACCTGGGATGACATTTTGATAATTGATTTCATTTCATTTCCAGGTATATCTATTGAAATGAATTCCGCATTCCAGCTCACAGTCATTTTTACCTGCACATTTCTCACATGTGAATTTCCTCTTGGATTCCTCTCAGCAGACGGAGTTTAATGTAAATGGATTTTTGTTTATAAGAATTTTAGTTTGTGCTTTATTAATTTGTGTAAGGGGATACATCTGTGTTTATGTGTGTTTATGTGTGTGTGTGTGTGTGTGTGTGTGTGTGTGCCACTAACCTCTTTGTGTGATACTTCGGCTCTGCCTTCTCACACGAGCATTTCTCAGGAACCTCCACTGCCGCTCCATCCTCACCTGACTCTCCAGGTCATGCTCCTCTGGGATCTGAGAGGATGGATGGATGAAAAAGAAGGACAGGAACAGAGAGATTAACATGCTGACTCCATTTCTAACATTTCTAAGGATGAGCAGATGGTTTACACATTCTGCAACCTCAGTGAAAATATAGAACTACAGTGGCAGTATAAAAGACATTAACTGTTTTGAGAGGACAACATCAGGCACACAAAGCGTCAGGAGGTGCTGCCAACAACAATATGACACATCGGCTCTAAACCTGGTCTCAGAAATAAAACTGAGATATGACAAAGATATAAAAATAAAGAATAAAAGTTGATACCAAACAAGAGAGCAATTTTCTTGTAAACAAACACAGTTATATTCACCGTTAGTCATCACATTGCACTGTGTATATCTTTGAGGCCTAATTAACATGTATTTCCTTCCTTAATAACAAGCAAAGCTGATTTTATGAATATTTTGAAAGCTACGAAGTTTACATCATGGACAAATAACAAGAAGAGGCTATCTGACTCCAAATGGCACCAACTTATTTTGCATTATGTGATTCACTGCGTGTGACGTATTAAACCTATGGAGTTTAAAAATCCATGATACAAAGAGTAATAATTGATCTTGCTGTGTCCTGGCTACAGTTTCACAGATGTCTGTGTCATTGTGGTGGTCTATGGGGAAAACGCTCTTTGGGCCAAAGGGGTAAACTGACAGGAGCTACAGCATGTCCATGGTTTACATGGACGAGCAGTCTTCCTGCCTTTTGCTGCTGCATTGCTATGTTTTTGGGGGTTGCCCTCATCAGCTCTATCAGTTTCAATAGCCTGAAATGCAAGGTCACATAGACCCCCTTTTTTTGGGTAAGTATGGAAGAAGGCAGGAATGTTTATAGCATATAAATTTGGAAAATACACTTGATGGCTCTCTTTCTGAAAGTTAGCTGAGACGACTGATGTCAGTCCATCCAGGGATTCTGTCTACCATCTTCAGCTTTAGCACTGGTTGCTATATACAGTCTGTGAGAACAGGATTTACTGTAGGTATGTTCATCCACAATCATCCTCCTGTCCTCCCCAAATATTGAAGTCACCAACCACCACTGTCCACAATGGTACCAAACCTGGCAACCTCTCTGGTGTTGTTCACCAAGGAAGCTGCAGCAGTTTGTTCCTTTGTTGTTCCTATATTTGTGTTTGTGTATGGATCAATCATATAAGATAAAAGCTGTTTTTCAGTGAGCACTGAGAGTTGTTGGTAGGGCGTATTTTTCCACTTTGGACAAAACCATGTTCGCTCTTTCCCCCTGCTTCTGGTCTTTATGCTAAGCTAGGCTAATTATATCCTGACCCCAGCTTAATACCAAACACGCAGATTCCTGTTCCTTTAATGCTTAGTCACAACATGTTCCCCACTGAAATGATAGAACTCAATGACATTTTCAACTTTTCTCATCACGGTTCCGTCCTTACTGACTTTGCCAGCTACAACGTAAAGTGAATCTCATGCTCGGAAGACTCATGGTGACAAGTTCACTTTATGCACTCACATCTGATCACATCACATCACATCACATCATATGAACAGTGTTAACTTTATTAAGTCTTATGTAACAAAATGGCCCCCACAGACGTTGTGCTGGCTTTATTTTAAGAGAACATAATGACTTTAAATATGCAAAAGTAATATCAAGCTGATTTATGTCATTTTCTGCTAAGAGTATTAAAGTTGTGAATTAAAACTTGACTATGTTAATATTCTGCATATTTCATAGACGAATAAACAACAACAGAGTGTAAACAACAAAGAAAAACTGTAATAGTGTGTGTGTTTTTACATGCTGGTTGCCTGGGTGCGCTTATTAAGCACATTTCTACAGCGAGGCCTCCCATACCCACTTCATTTTAAAATACCCTGACACACACACACACGCACACACAACTACACACAACTACAGTGCCATTTGATTATACAATTACTGTGTGTTATCAGTATTCCTGTAATGTCGTCACCCTGTGTTGCGCTTAGGGAAACACAACACACATTTTAACACCTCTGAGTGGAGCTTGTGAATAAATCTATTTCTATATGAGACGCTGTGTGTGAAGAGTGTGTTTCCGTAAGTGTGTGTCATCACGTTAAGTTTATCTGTGCATCACATTAAGTGTCATGGTCCCTGCATGAGCCTGGGAAGGAGGCGGATTTAGCAGGTTGACATATTTTAGAGGTTGACTTATTTTCCGCAGCTGAGAGGGAGACATAGTGTGTGTGTGTGTGTGTGTGTGTGGCCAGCTGATACAGTGGTTCCAAGGGTTGTGGTTCTGCACTGTACCCGCTGCTAATGTAATGTATGATGAGACCCTGAGGTAGAAAACAAGTGTACGTGTGTATATGTTTCTCTGTGGTTGTGTGGACAAATATTGGTTTGATATGATCACTGTGAGGACATCTTGGGCGGTCCTCACAACATCAAAGGGCTGTTTGAACGTTAAGACTTAATTCTAGGGTTAGAACAGTTAGAATTAGGTTAAGTTTAGAGTAAGGGGCAAGGGAATGCATTATGAGTGTCACCACAGCTGATGTAAGCTCAGTATGTGAATGGCTGTAAGTATGTAGACACCTGAACACTTGGCACATATATCATTTGTGCATTTGGTAAATCATCTCATTACTCATCTTATTCCAAAACCATAGAGATTAATATGCTGGTGTAACAGCCTCCACTCCTCTGAGAAGACTTACCACAGCATTTTGAAACCTCAGATCTGTTCCCATTCAGCTGAAACAGCATTATTGAGGTCAGGCACTGAAATTTGGAAACAAGACCTTGTGTGGGGTGGGGTTGAAATCAGGGCTGCGTGCAGGTCAATTATGTTCTTCCACACCAAACTTTGTAAAACATTGGTTTTTGATTGTTCACAAGAGGATTAGCCACGTTGATGAGGAAAGAGCCTTCAGCCAAGTGTTGCCACAAGTGACGCACATGATTTCTAAAATATCATGGTGGACTGGAGCGTTAAGATTCCCTTCCTTTCCTATGGGGCTTCCTGGAACTATGTAATTCATTACCAACAACAAGATAAACTCAGAGACAGTTATCATAGTTTTGTTAGTTGTGTGTTGGACTTTAAGAGTGCTTGACAAAGTATAGAACATGTGACAGATCAAACGTTTGACATAATAATTTATGTGTGTATAAAGAATGCGGTGAATGAGATGTGGTTGTTTTCCTTGAGAAGACATTGAGTTCAGATTGCTGCCGTGTCGTATATGTGATATTTCACGTCTTGAGTTTGTTGTGAGTTTGTATGGATGTTATCTCGGCCAAGTCTTTTTGTTCTATCTCAATGGGACTTCCTGGTAAAATAAAGAAAACAAATAAATAATGTCACAGTAGAAAAGGCCCAGGTGTAAATAATAAAATGAACGGCGGCTCAATTCCGTTTAGCTGCTTCAGTTTGAAGGTCCTGGCATCGTGTGTGCTGGCTCACTGTCACACCGTCATGAATGACAGGGACAGTTGAACTGTACTGTTTTATAGCGTATATGTGACAAAATGCCTGCTGTGCACCTGTCCTTGAATTGATCACTTTTACCATTAAATCACTGTTCATTTGTTATTGGAAACTTTATTTTTCATACAGTGTATGATGAAGTGTTGTAGAAAACCTTTTTACACAGCATGCTCTGCAACAAATAAGAGACTCTGTTTTAATTTTAAGAGTGTCAAATAAACACTTAGTCTGTAATTTACCTATAATTAGCACCAAGAATTACTACTAAGAATTACTATGGACTAGAGGAAGAAAGCGTAGAGCCTTGATGTGGACAGCTGCAAACTTACACACAGTCAACTGATGTACATGTGCATTGAAAATATAATAGTGACATTCTTTCAGCAAGATGAGGAGCTCTGTTGTTATTTGGCTGGACAACATGAAAAGATCAAATAAAGGAAGAAGATGACCGGGGACGAGGAACGCTGTACATACACACAATGCATGAACCGAGTGTCCTGTTGTGTTTTGTGGGTCATGCACAATCAGCACACTCTTAGTGCAAATAGTCTGCACAGTCACAAATTTTGGGCTGCATGTGGACGTCTGCATGGACTCTCGCAGACTTGGGCAGATAATGAAAGTGACGCCACGTGCATTAATGTAATCAGTGCAACACTTCTAATGTACTGCTTCTGGCTGAAACACTAAGATTTTGCTCATACTGGACAAGTTGTCTGAATCTGGGCCAAACCTTCATGCTACAATATTATAGGACAGTTTACAGCATATCATAGGAAAATTTACTGGAAAGAAATGATAATAATTAAAAATAATATCTATACCTATAATAATCTATAATGATATCAGGGGCTGAGAGCTGCCTGGAGGTGAGGGTGCTCTAATTCCTGTGGCCTGTGTGTGTGTGTGTGTGTGTGTGTGTGTGTATGTGTGACCCCTGCTCCCTCTCACACACACTCTTAGAGCTGTAGCTGTGGAAATCTTTTTCATCAGTCTCTCTCTCTAATGTGACAAGAGTCTTCAATGTCCTTGCTCCTCACACACTGTTAAAATTGTAGATGGAGATACACACACACACACATGCACGCACGCACACTTTGCTTTCGTGCTGCTGACACAGTGATATGATAACCTGTGTGCAGACTTTTGAGGAATACTCACACACACGGAGCTTTGCAATGGAGCAGAGTTTTATGGCAGCACTCAAAATTTTGCCAACACAGCATTCTGATTTGCACTATGGCAAAACCCCTCTCCTCCTCCTCCTCCTCCCCCTCCCCCTCCGCTGCCTGCTCTTTCACTAACTCTTTCCATCCACTCACCTTCCTGTCTTTCATCACCTTTTGTTGCCACTTCTGGCTCCTTTCCTGTTCATGCTGCCGCTGTGCTCCTTATACAGAGTTTTAGCTACTCTGTTTTTCCTCTTCTCCCACACTCTTCTTCCACTTCTATCTGCCCCTCAATGTCTGCTCTCCTTTTCAAATATTTTCCTTTCATCATCTCTTACTTTGCGCTCTTTCTCTCTCTCTCCCCTGCACACACAAACCATCCTCCTCTTTCTGCCCCAAATGTTTCTGTGTTGTAAATATTTTATTTGACTAAAATATACTTTTCTTTTCTGTATCAGCCACTTTGTCTCACGCACACATGAATATCTTTTCTTACTTATTTCTCTCTCTCCGCTCCCAAAACTTTTCTCTCATCTCCTCTATTTGACCCTCATGCTTGACTCTCTTTTAATGATTCCCTCCTTCTTTGTTTAACCTCAACAAAATCTGCTGACACCATTTGTTTTACTTCTTTTTCCCACAGAGATGAAGCATGTTTAGAGAGTTTAAACACATGGAAGCTTGATTTAATATTATAACCATCTACTGTGCCTGGTAAAAAAGCCCTTCTTTAAATCTTAAATTTCACTGGCGAGGATGTTACGGACCTCAGAGAACTCAATTATTCAGCTGTACAAGCAGCAGATACTTTCTCTCACCGTGATGGTCCCTTCCCTGCTGTTTTCCATCAGACTTCATTATTTTTTTAAATAAATTCTGTAACACTGAGTTCATGTCCTCAGATCGCTCAGTCACTCCTGAAGCCATTGTAAAATGCATGACAACATGCACCTATGACACCACCTCACATTAATATTTACGTGAAAATTGAAATTTATCTGTCATACAGCTCCTTTGTTGCTTAGCAACCACTATAAGCTGCTGTCTGAGAACTAGGTTGTTTGGTGGAGGAATGATATGAAAGTATTGTTTTTAAATGATTGATTAACAAAAATATGAATTTGCTCTTTTTCTTTTTTAATTCAGTAATGTGTTACTTGTGTTTCATCAAAGCAACTCACCTGACATGCTGCTTTACACCTGTTCCCTCATCACTGCCAAGCACAGCTTTGAGGCTGATTGTTGAATTTAAAGGTCCCATATTGTATGAAGGTAGATGGTCACCTCTCTCAGCCATGCTCAAAGCCCCGCTAACCTTTACCCACCATCCAACCTCGCAGGATTTGGTTTCTCTGAAATCTGCTGCATTGAGATTTAAAACTACATTGAGATGGTTTTAGGTTCTTAAAACCACAAATATATCTTCTTATGGATCAACGCTTCAAATAAAAGAACGGAAAAGTGTCACTAAAACAACAAAACAGACACAAAGAACTTTTATCTGACTCTATCAGAGGGGTAACTGACTGACGGGTGGAGACAAAGATGATAAAAAGGAATAATGGATGGAAAAGAGAGGACAGACAAAGCTGTCAGGGACACTACCTTCATAACAGGCTGAGCAAAATACTTTGCACTCCAGTCACACAGGCCCGTCTGGAGGGCGGGACTGATGTAGTTCCTGTGACCACCCGGCTCGTCACCGTCTTCAGCTGCCTGTTCACACACACACACACACACACACACACACACAAAAAATGCAGAGATTATGCAACTTTTACACGAGTCAATTTGAAGTTAACATCGTTGTAGCTGTTGGTTACTGCTCATTTCATCCACACATTGTCTAAGCTACACACACTCATTCAGCAGGGTCTCCCTCTACCTGCTCTGGTCCCTTGTCAAACATCTTGCGGGTGCGGGGGAACTGGTGGGAGTGGGGTGCCTGTCCTCCCAGTGTCGGGGTGTAGGGCGGCCGTGTGGCGGGCTGCTCTCTGGCGGGGGGTTTGGGCACCTCATTGGTCAAACTTGAGCTGCTGGTGCTAGGCATGGGGGGAGACCCACTGGGGGGACAGAAAAATCAACAAAAAATTTTATGTAACCACGACATCAGATATCATTATTTATTAAGCTGGAGAAAATAATTCGGACCACATTGAGGTTTTACTTTTACAAGAAAAACTTCAAGGGTGTCAACTCTCAGGGAAACTTAACCAACGGGACGAGTCTGAAAGTTTTACATATCTTTTTTTTCTAAAAACAGCTGTTGGAAAAGAGGGGGGGGGCGTGTTATAATCAGTATCATCTTCAAATGTCTGTTTTCGTGTCTACAGTCGAGTGTGCTGATAAGGATTTAAATAAATAAATTTGTGTTTTTGTCCTTTTATCTCATTATTTTCTCTCTTTGATCTTAAGCTCTAGTTCATGTGCCATAAATATTATGCAGTATGTATTCAAATGTAATGTCTTTGCCAGAATGTCTGTGAAAACAAGATGATCCACCTTTAGGGGCTTATGCTTAAATTTGTTTAAAACTTTTCTCCTGCTGTGCAAACTTCACTAAGAGTGAGCTGTGTGCAGGATGCAGATGTTTTGTGTCTATCTGGACATTCACGTGTGTGAGACGCGTTCCCTCACCCAGCCTGGTGAATGTGCGTGCCCTTGCTGGTGGGACTGGCTGGGGCCGACTGCGTGAGAGATCCAGAGTCCAGGATCCTCTGCGGCCGAGCGTTCATCGTCGCCTGAGGAGACAGAAAGTGGGTTAAGTTCCCCGTTGTTTCATAATCCCACTGGAACTTGGAATCAGTGTTAACATGTGCAATGGGTCTGGGGGGAGGGGTTCAGATATTTCAGAGACAAACCTGAGGACGGATCCGAATAAGAAGCCATACCTAAAATCAGGACACTCTTCGTGCTGTGACAATGCATAAACAGAGCAGCACTTCACAAAGTTTGCCTAAATTTCCAGAACTTTATCTCATTAAGTGGAGCAACTAATATAACCTCTTCACTGTGAGCTGTCTAATGGCTGCTCACAAGGGAGGGGTAAACTTAATAAAGACAATAGAGGCAAAGCATCACTGATGAATAGCAGAGTTGTTGTTTACTCATGCCAGGTGGAGACAAAACTCTGTGCAGTGTAAATCTAGTTAACACAGGCAAACACATTTTACTACCTGGGATTGTCTTTAATTTGATTTCTATGCTAAGTACAAAATTGCGGCAAGTGTCTTTTGTTTGTGGAGTGCGTCTAAAAGTTTACACACATACAATCTGCTGCAATTGTGATGGTGAAGAGACATTGGTTACTAAAGTTTGCTGTGAGCGCTTCATTAAGAGGCGATTGGAAATGAAACAAAACAGCAGTAAAACCAGCTGAAAGGGTTATTATGGAAATAGCTCCGTCACTAATCTGAGGTCTCTTTTCGACCCAAGCACAACGAGATCAATATGATGAGAGGGCCATAAAAAGAAAAGCAGATAAACAACTGAAGTCTATCCTTATTTCTGAAAAACTGGGAGGCGATTGTAAGAAGCCGATGAGAAGCAGCAAGTGTGTGTGAAGGCGGCAGAGCGCCATGCGGAGAAGTAGACATTTATAATGGCAAAACTGAGCTTGACACTGCAGCATTAATCCTGCTGAAGATTTTTTTTTTTGAGAGTCAGAAAGGGGTTGCAGCCAATTGCAGATCTACACTAGTAAAAGCACGTACAAAAGGAGAAGCGAGAAGAGGCAGCAGGGTGGACGAGCTGGTTGTCAAGACTCTCCCGCACTAAAAGGTCACAAGTTCATTCCCTCAAAGTCAGAGTGCCATTAACAAGTTACAAGTCACCGAATCTCTCCAGCTAGGTTTTTCTACCTTAAAGCAGCAGCGATCATACTAACTACCTTTTAGCCAGATGCTGGTATGATGTGAAGTTGCAAGCTCATCGGTTAAAATGACTCAATTATGCAACAAGTTCATGGATTATTCATCAACCTTAGCTGATCGTCAACATGTGGTAAACAAACATCACGTTAACGCAGGAGGCCACATGCTTTATCTGCTGACAAGCTTTCCAGAAAATGTGAAATGCAGAACTCCGGGAAAAAGGAGGGTAATCGTTTCTACCAGCTGCTCAACGCCACGCTGGGAAACAGCTTGCTCTCCTGTTTCAACCGGCTTTCCTTCACTTCCTCCGCCATTAATTGGCCGTAAAGTGAGTCAACTGAGCAAACAAATTAGTGCATGTACACAGTGGTAGGATACAGGAGTGAAAACTGATGATGGCTCAGAAAAACCTCTGAATGGTCCTGTTTAATTATTGAAGGAGACTCTAAGGGAGGGAAATTGGACGATTCTGGCTTCTCGAGTCATAATCTCCACTCATGACTCACTAAAGAAGTGGGCACTGCCTTCACAAAGTCCATTAAAACAGTAATGGACTTTGTATGGTAATGTTTTTTATTTGCACCTTCTTGACAGGTGAAAACTTGAAAAACAAAATAAAAATTACGAATCATCTTTTGTCCTGCAACTTTCAGGCTACAGTCAAAAGAAGACTGGACACACTAGAATAACACAAATTAAAAAAAAAAATGACCTGCGACTTTCATCCCAGCATCACACAGCAAGAGGGGGCTATTAAAAAAGCATTTAAAGGTTTCATCATCTGAGAGGCAAGTAAATTTTAATTAGCTGCTGACCTTGTTCGCTTTGTTACAAATCAATAACATTTGACATTTAAAATCCTAATTAAAAGTGCTGAATTCCCAGTTAGGCTGATGTTAACACTTGTGAACCTGGGATGAATGCTCTCTGATTAAGTCGTTTCTAACAAGCTCCATCCATGATAACTCATTAATTTTAGAGAGTAAGGCATTTAAAGGTGTTTAGGTTGGCGTTCCTTTTTAAATGTCAGACTGTTCTGCACCATTTTTCTCAGGTGTACAGACAGCACAGGTAGAGCTTGATCCTTTATTGGTGTTTTCATGCCAGAATATAACTGTATGAACTTTGATGACACTGCTACCACATGCCACTGTGACGCAATTGGTCTTCAAATCCCCTGAATTGGCACACATCTTATGATTTAGGTGTATAACCAAAGGCATAACAAAGTGTGTGATGTCATCCCAGATTAATTTAGTTCAGTACTGTTCAGCAGAAATGTTTTTAAGACAAGTTCAAGTCAAGATTCAAGCCAGCGGATGCAGGTCAAGTCCCAAGTTGAAAGAGATAGTTTAACGCCAAGTCTTAAATGAGTTGATGGAAATTACAGTCAAGTGAAGTGAAAAAAGTCCAAGTCAAGTCTCAAGTCAGTCAAGACAATTAAGGCTTCAATCAGTCCACGTCTCACGTCAATTTGCGAAAAGTTCAAGCCAAGTATGGAGCCCACTGAGAGAAACCCAAGTGTCTTTATTTTAACTGGCGCAGTTTTTCTGGCCTTTACGCCACTCACTGCTCATGTGACGCCGCTACGCCAATCATTGTGACTGCAGTCAGTGAGTGAGATATACACACACGGTGGGAGACGACGACGCAGACATAAGTGGTTAGAAGCGGGAAAGACAGAGATAAGGACGTGTTAGAGCTGTTCAGTTGTTAAGATGTGTTGAGATTATTTATTATAAAAATGTCTGAGACTGTTAGCTCAGTTTTGGAGTTAACCATAAAAAAGAAAAATGGAAAGTCAAGCTACATTTTTTTATTTAATTTTGTAAAATTAAGCACTTTATTATAATTTTTCAAAAGCCCTCTGTTATGTAGTTATTACAGCTACTAGTTTCCTTGAAATGATAAAAGAGCATATACCCGTTATTAATATATTATCATATTATTATATATTGTGAAGGTGATCAATTGAAAAAAGTCAAGTCTCAAGTCGATCACGATAACTCCAAGTCAAGGGTCAAGTCACAGGAGATAAGCTCAAATCTTAAGTCAATCAACAGAAGCCCAAGTCAAGTCACAAGTCCTGATTTGAAAATTACAAGTCTGAGAGCATTTCAGGTCTCTAGTCAATAAAACTGACCAATGAAATGACATGGCATTTGAACATTTTCTTTTCAAAGCTGTGTTAATCATACCATCTTATTTAACTGGTCAAAACTAGAGGCCTCAATGTTTTTGCTTCAATTCGAGTCTTGAGGCAGTTAAGTCTTATGTCAAGTCCTCATTTTTCACAATTAGGTCTGACTCAAGTCAGTGTGTCCCCTCGTCGTGAGAGTCACACCACACGACCATTGAAGGCAACACAGGTCAGGGGCAGGTGCAGTGCGTGATTAAATCGCCTCTCTTTCTGTTGCAGTCGTAACCTCGGGATATATTGTGGCTGGAAATCTGCTCCCGTATGTTGGCTGTCAGAGCACTAATTTTAATGAATATGACGCCACTCTTTTGCTCAGCTGACTTCAGGTCTGCAGGTACACAGAAACTAATACTACAGAGGCGTGTTGCAGAGCCACACAGACAGTGCGGTGCATTAGCCGGCAGAGGAGAAGTCTATTGCGTTATATTGTAAATCAAGTCCTGTTGTTTTTTATTGCAGCCCAGCAGGGAGTCTTATTGCAGAGATGCTGCTTGTCTGAAGGTAACTGAGGGGACAATTGGTGTTGGTGGTGGGAAACACAAGAAATTTTGCCTCAGGGTTAGGATGGGTGGTGCACTATAGTGGTTATTATGGCTCCTTAAGTTACGGCAGCCTCTTTGCTCTGCTCTGCTCTGCCAGGCCTGCGGGAGTCATTGGCCCTTAATTGCATTTGCACAAAAGTAATGGCCTTTTGGAGGGAGAAAATGCCAGTAGGAGGGTGGGGTGTGTGTGTGTGTGTGTGTGTGTGCTGGAAACGGATCTTTTTCACAGCATTACCATGTGGTGAAAAAGAACTGACAAACGCATACAGAGACAAATAAGCCTATTATAAGACTCCCATTATATTACACTCTAGGAAATTAGTTGATACTCATCTTAAAAATGACTTATAATGAGTGCAGTAGTAGCAGTAAAAAAAAAAAAAAAAGAGCGTAAAATCTTGGGTTCTCAACATTGTAAGCAACAAGAGTAAAACAGCTCTAACAGTAATCCCTTGAGCATTTGTGTAGGGTAGTGATTTGCGGTTCACAGTTATTGGTGGGCACAGTGGTTAATCTGTGCGCCGGATCATAGAAATGAACATTCTGATTAACAGCTGATGAGTTGTGGGTGGGTGAAATAATATATAATGTATGAAGAAAACATTAATTATACTCTCTGAAATGTGAACTTATTTTAAGCTTCATTTTTCATCGGGCACAAACTAGACTGAACTGAACTCATATTTTATCATTTACTTTGGCCAAACATTATGAGCTTTTAAATTGTTTGTGTTCGGGAAGTAGCAGTGACATTCAGAATTGTAGTTTGAATAGATTTAAAATGTCAGACTGCGCTCAGGCTATTGTAGAAGTGGCCTACTTGTTGCTATTTTCATTTGACCAGAAAAGGACAATTTTAACTTAATAAATGTTTGTTTATTTAAAACCAGCCTACTTCACAGTAATGTGTAATTTGGGATATGTGAAATCCAACTGAGAAATAATGGCAATGTGTGATCAGGTGCAATTTTAAGTTGATTTGTTCGAGTGGGTGGTGGGTGGATTATTTAAGCATACATGCAGATTCGGGTGACATCAGAGTCGATCTGCGCATCTCTAGCGTAAAGGTTAAGATGTGTTTTTTTTTGAAAATCAAACTGCAGTCGCTTTAAAGACTCAAACACAGCTATACCTTGTACGCTATGCTGTTAAGGACCTTCATGGCCAGGTCCGACACCTCAGGAAACGGGTCTGCGGCCAGATGCAGCAGCACTCTCCAGATCTGAGTGTAAACACTGTTGAAGGACACACCTGGAACAGACACACAAAGCAAAGAGGTTCAACAGATTAACACATTTTGTAAATAAAACTGGATTTTATTGGCAAAGTTTTACACATATATACAGGAAATGAATACACCCATCAGCACATACGCCTCACTCTGGTGTAACTCATCACTCCTTTCGAAGTTCATTACCACAGCGGAGCTAACTGCTAAATGGTTATTCACAATCATCTCATTAGCATCATGCTACCCACACCGGTCATTTTCCTCTCCTCCAGTTGTTGGATGTGTTGAGGTGGCAGAGGGAAAATGACCTCCAGTGTCAGGTAATGTAGATCGTTAATCAACTCTCTCACACTAACACACACACACACACTCTCACACACACACACACACACTACAAGCAGCTGGCTCTGCTCATCCATGGGCGCTTCACTGCTATCAACTGTGGCTGTTATCATACATACAAATGAAGGACGTCGCTCTGATTGTCAGGTGGTTTTGTTCATCTTTTCTTATCTTTAGCATTTGTGATGAAAGGTGACGGTTTCCTCAATTTCACTCGAGTTCATCATTATTTGCACTTGTGACTTTTAACCCTCCTCTTCCTGCCCGTTTGCTCATTTACCATCCTCTCCATCTCTCTCCTGTCATCGTCTTCAGTCACTTCTTCCTGATGTCAGTTTGTTTGCCTCAACCTGCCAGTCACACTTCTCTTTGTGTTAGCAACAACCTCCTTGTCCTCCACACATTCTCCCCTAATTTTGGGCTTTTACTTCCTTCAGCATGTTGCCTCTGCAGTGCACCGAGCCTCCGTCACTGCTGCTGCGCCTTTTCTGCTGTCTCCCTTTAAATGTCCCTTTGTCTGTCAGTTTCAATCTGTCTTCTTTCTCTTCTCCCTCTGTGTCCGCCGTGGGGACACGGAGCGATAACAGTCTCCAACTGTTTCTGTTTCTCATTTTGCTCCCACTTTTTGGCTTCTCCCTCTTATTCCCTTCTTCACCGATCTTTCCATCCATGCAGGTGGTCCTGTAAACTTTACCTTTTATTTCATATCTTTTTTTTTTTTTTATCATCTCCCTACACCCTTGCCCTATTTCCCACTTTTCCAAGAGCTCTGCATCTGCAATCTCCTTGGGGTGTTGTGGGGAAGTGAGAATGACTGAAGCCTGGACCTTCTTAAAGCTCAGAGTCCTCTCCTGAGAGTGCCGATTCAAAGATAGGAGACATAAAGGGATGATTCTGAGAATGGATAGGAGAAGGACGGAGGGCTACAGCTAGGGGAAGAAAAAAGGATAAAAGGACACAGGACAAGGAGGAATGTGGAAAAGGTGAGGAGCAGAGGGGACATGAGGAGTAAAGATGGAAAGAAAAAAAAGACGAGGAGGAATAAGATATTTCTGTGTGCTGTGAGGTATGTCAGAGATGGGTCAAAAAGGCAAAAAGAGCTGAAGGAGGAACAAAGAGAAAGAAAAAGAGGGAAAGGGAAGGGGGAGAAGGGGAAAGAGATGAAAGGACAGAAAGGGAAAGAGCGAGTGAGGGAGAAAAAGTGGTTGAGGGAGCTAAAGAGGTGATCAGGCTGTAGCCCGCGGGGCAGGGTATGATTAGTGACAGCTAGCCAGTGCGCTAGCTGCTGCAGTAAACAGCCTGTTGATAAATGTGATAATGTTGCTCTCCCATTTAACTGCTGTGCTACATTACAGGCGCACACAAATTACCACTGCACCGCCTCAACGTAGTCCACATGAGGGAACCTGGCGCTGGATATCACTCACTGGCCGCTGCACCAGGGCCTCGTCCTGACTCGTCATTTGAAGACTCGTGCAGAGAGAAATGGATGTAGAGTAGTAAAGATGTTAACTATTGGCCAAATGAACCGCTGCATCACTGTTTTATGGCTTCCTCAATCTGGCAGATAACATAAATATTTTTAACACTGCATAGTGATTTTTGGAGCTTTAAATGGTCCAGGTATAAAAGTGCAACAGTACATTAGAAAGCAGAGAGGAAGTTCCTCTATCAGGCGGATTTTTAAATATATTTAACAGGGAGATGCTCACAGTGTAAGTGGCACCAAATCATATCTGTGATGCTCTTTAAATGGGAGAGTGTAGAAGTGAATCTAAGCCCTTGATGTGACAAAATATAAATGTCATTGCAGATACAGAAAATGTCTCAGTTAGGCTCAGTGTTACTGTAAACCCCTTTAACTGGCATTTTAGTCCAGAGTAAAATATCTCATCAACTCTTGGGAGGAAGAAATTAGGTACAGACATTCATGGTGCCCAGAGGATGAATCCTACTGACTTTAGTGATGCCCTGACCTTTGACTGAGCGTTACAATGAGCTTTACACTCTTCCTTTTGACTTGCAGTAAATATCGATAACTATTGGATACATAACGGTGAAATTTGGTACAGTTACTTAAAGTCCCCTGAGTACAAATGGCTGTGATGGCTTGGCCATGTGCTTTGTAAGAGGGCAGATCCATCTCAAATAGTGTGAAGCTCTAGGGAGCTCACTGTGGCCTCATGTGTGGCCCCGACAGCGGGCGAAGAGGGTAGTAGAACAGAAGAGGAAGCACAGTAAATCACAGGATCATTCTTGATGACTTTGGTGAGCCACTGGATTTTCATCTAATGCATCAGCTGGTAAAAATGTTCACTTACTCAGTGGAAATAACTTGACATGTACAAGGTGAATTGGTACAAAATTTGTTATGAACAGTCATGTTCCTCACAAGATTAATCCCTAATTATATTGGTGATCTACTAACTTTCATCTAGCACAACCAGCGGGTCGAAATGTTTAATTATACTATGAAATATCTAAACATCGATCTGTTAACTTTCCATCCTGTGCTATCATCAGGTCAAAATTTCAATTTGTTCAATACAGTGGTTAATAAACAAGACTAAAAGCATTGCCTTAGACTTAGCTGCACTTTGTATTTAGTGCTAATTAGCAAAAGTATCAGTGTGTATTTGTGACACCAAAAACACAGCATACTGTCTATCAAACTTGAAAGTAAGATCAGTTGCTTTCCAACATTAAAACTTTGCACTTAAACAAAAATAGTTTCTGCACATAAATAAAATAAGTTTAAGAAAAACAGATGTGCACTGTGCCTCTCTAGTCTCTGCAGGTTTTGTGACAGGAACACGAGCCTGTCAACAACGTCTGGTTTCAGGGATGCCCTGTGGCGTGTCGCAGTCTTACCACTGGTGCTAAACACCCTCTCAGAAGGGAACTCACGGCTGGGACAGACGTAGTTTTTGCCAAATGGCTGAGCTTTGGGAACATTGAGTTATGAGAGGTAGGCCTGAGCATAGCGACATGCACCGACAAGGCAGCCGTTGCAACAGTGGCCGTGTGTGCACCAATTAGCAAGAGAGAAAGCACTGCACAGCTTTCCTGTTCAAATGTGGTCAGTTTAGACGGTAACCTGCCGATATTACGCATATTCAATACAATGAATATAGTCGCTTCTTATGTCTTCTATAAAATACTATCAAATATATAAATATCTTCAATATTCAGCCCAGGCTGCTACAGTATAGTAGGATTTGTACAAATTACAGTGTGAGCAGGAAAGACAAATACAGAAAAGAATGAATGTAAATCAATAAATCACTTGTGAAACTCTGCCCTGACTCCCACACAGTTGTGTTATCCTGCTGGTTTCCTGCAGACCAGTGTTCAGCAGCTGCTGCATTTAGCATTTATGGTTTTAATATGTTCTAAACTGCTGTATTATAATCATCACACCACTTTACCTCTTAACATGTTCTTTGTTAGCTTGCAGTGTTAAAACATGGATGTGATGGGAATGTATGCCAAAGAGACAGAAACAAGTTAATACATTTTCCAGGCGAGATGAAAAACAAAACCCCAAAGCTCTTATGAAAACAACTTCAAACCAAACAAAAGACAGAAGCAAATGAGTAAACAATGAAAAGAGTCAAAATGACAAGTGAAGCCTCTGCTGACTTAGATAACTGAATCTAAGTGACAACAGGAACGTAAATGCCAACATCTGAGCTCAAGTCTGTATTTCAACCTTTTTCTTTATGCTCCTGAATATCGCTGCCAAACTCAATTCATCTGCTCTTCCCTGCTTGTTTATACATGCAGCTCTATGCGATGTGGGAGTTATAAACACGCGTGCGGGGAGGCTGGGGCTCTTTTCAGCCATGGCAGAGGCACAGCTCAGTGGGCAGGGGGCCAATATGTCTTTTAACCTGTTTACATGAGGACCTCATGCCAGTATTAATGGCCCACAAGCAGCTTGAAAAAGGTTTAATCGAACAATGAATGCTAAATTTGTCAGATAAAAGGGTAATGAGAGGAAGTGTTGCGCCAGACTGTTTTTATTGTTTTTATTTCATCAAACATTCATTTCCAAGCGTTGGTGTCCCATGGTAGCTGTGCCCTAAAAATAAAAATCCTACTAGAGCAGTTGGCTGATAGGGCAGAGTTTTAGTTTGACTTTAATTTACTCTGCATTATTTGATAAGATGAGCTGACACATCTACCATGGAGGGAAAGAGGACGGGCAAAATATTTCATCACCTTTAGCTAGCACTTTGTGTGAGAGAGCGAAAGTGTGTACACGACTTAAAAAAGCGTGTCCATGAGTGTGATTCCATCCAGATTTACACAACAGATTGTGTTAAATGTTAAATTTAACAGCAGAGGAAATTGGGCTGTTTCCTCAGAGGACCAATAAGAGGCTGAGCAGAACTTGACTGAGCCAGGTTCACCTAAAATAAGGTCCCATTCATTTAAGGAACAAATCAAAGAAAACATGCTGAAGAGGGTATTTCATTATAGTGCCTGTACCTACTTTCATGCCAAGTCAAATTCACTGTTCTCCAGGGCTCAGTTTCACGTTTCCATTCGATTTTCTGTTTCAACTCGTTTTCCGAAATGAAAAAAAAAGGAAAAAGAACAGAAAAAGGAAAGAAAAAGGAAAAGCACAAAGTAGGGCGTGACAGGGGGGCTGGGAGATTACAAGAAGTTTGCAACTTGAAATGCCACAATAACAAACAGAAAGAAAAAAGGGGATTCCCCAGTTTCACTTTCCCTTTTTCCCAGGGGGGGGCGGGGCTGAGGAGTGAGTTAATGGTACTCCTGCTCGCACACAAACTGGCTGTCAGGATGCATTGGTAGAGCCCGCCCATCACATGAGAGCACTGGTGAGTGAGTGTACCAGGAAAGGCACTTTAACAGCCTCAGGTGGCTCACAAGGTCTAACCCACCCCCCTCCCCACTGTCCTTTACACATCTGCAAACCTTCTTCACACTCGTTCTATTCTTAGACTGGAAGCTTTTCCTTCTGTCCCTGCTGTTGTCTGAGGGGTTTCACCCTCTCTAAGGATGGCCTGAGGTCTCTCTCTGGCGCCATCACATTCTCCTGGTCATTTTCCCCCCCCCCCCCATTTTCTCTCAAGTAGTCATGGGAGTGTTTGTTCATGAGATGGCATTTCCTGTGTGTTGAACCATGTAACACTGTCCCAGCTGCTGCCTGCATCCACACTGATGACACTACCAACCTCTAGATGTGCAATTAGCTTACTGTTCACAGAACAGACTCATAATGCAAAGTCAATATTATGATGACATAATTAATAAAAAAATAGCTGTTTAATTCTAAAATAAGATCCTCACAGTTTCAAAAACCACACAGCCTCTATACAATGGCTTTGGGCTTAATGGTAAAATTGATTAAGGTTGCTGTCTCACTTAAAGCTGCATTAATTAGCTTTTTGGCCACTTGGGGGCAGAACTCTACACACACACATTTGACATACTAAGGCATTATAAAGTTGATAAGGATAACATGTTAGCAAACACTCGGCTGTTTAAACATCCAGCCCTCACAAAGCAGACTTAGCATGAGCTAAAAGACTATAAAACAGAAAAGTTTGGAGGTAAATTGTCTGTGGGTTTGTCATTATGAGCAAATACTTTCGCATTACACATAGTAATTTGACCCTTTGTATATAAAAATATTTATTAGCACACCTTTCGTCCAGGTTCAGAGGACAGATTTACTTGTATTGTTTTAAAGCCTACTTCAGCAATTTAATGTTATACTTTATAAAGTTGGCAGACTAAAAAAACTTCACGAAAAACAAAAGCAACAGAGGACAAGATATCCCGACGTTTATAGGCTAAACTAAAAAAAAAGAAAGAAGCTAAATCATACATTTCCCATCATATAACTTGATGTCTTTAATTTGAAGTCTTCCAAACTCAGTGTTCCCAGCTGGTAACACAGACTTTTCTACAGACTTCACTGAGCTGCAACTGTTCTACTGTTACACAACTGTTTCCACAGGCTGTACACTCCTCATCATGACTAGCAAATGTACCTTAATGTCCAAAACTAGTGGAGTTATACATTTAGAAAAACATGAATGAGCAGCAGAAAAAGAGTATTTTGGAATGAAACACATAGATAGGCCCAGTCAAGCTACAGCCCAACTGACAAGCTATTACCTATGAGGGAGTTGAGCGAAGAATACGAGGAGACCCGTCGCATTTTGTCGATGGTCTCGAAGGACAGGATGTATTCATCGTTGTCGGGGCTCCCCAGGGTGCTGCTGGCGCTGCTGCTGGTGCTCAGGTTACCAGGAGAGAAGGCCGCCGGTCCACCTGAATGAAGGCAAACACGTACACATGAAAGCATTAGATCCAATCAGCGGAAAAATGAGCATTATAAATGCAATACCGGCTGAAGCAGAAGAAGAAGTGGCTCTTATTTTGTTTAGAAAGCACTTTAGCTGCTGTAAAAAGTGCTATATAAAACATCTTTATTGCAGTTATTATTGTTGTAAAAAGACAAAAACAAGGCCAACAGCCCAATCAAAAACAAATAAAGTGTGAGATGTGTAAGCAGTCCTTACACTGGAAGGGTACAATCCAACACAAGAACTTGCTCATAACTTTATTTCAGCTGTCAGGCTCAGTCATCTCCTGCTGTAGCTCTGCTTATCACCAAACATTACTCTGACTTATACAAACCCAAACGCCATGCATTCTCCACGCTGACTGCGGGCTGAAATGTGGAAATGGAGATTGGTAGAGAATGGAAATACGCTCTTCTCTTATTGATGATAAACACCACTGCATATTGGAATAAGCAGTGAGAGTGTGAATCAGAAATAGTGTCAGCAGTAGGTTATGCACTTCACCAAGTGCCAGTGATTTAGTGCCACTCAGGGCTTATGCATTACTCAGGCTGGCAGTGGTAGACAGAGGGCGGGCCGTTAGCTTTGGCTGTCTGAATCACTGAGAAGTGACAACCAGGAGTGAAGAGCTAAGTTTGGGTAGCAGGTCATGTCATTATAGCCTCAATAATAAACAAAATTATTTAGCTAAATATTAAGCTTGTGATTATTATTATGATTCTGTTTAGGAACAAAATTGTTTTATTTCAGTTGAACATTATGATTTGGTTGTTAAACTCTTTTACATTTTACTACATAAACTGAGAACTGGAACTGGAAGAAAACCCTCTAAGAGTGAGTCAATACATCTTTTAACATTTTATTTTATTTTATTTTTTTTATTTAGTTTAAATCACAGATTAGTGAAGTAAAAAAATAAAAAAAAGTATAAATATCACTTTTTCATTAAAGTTTTTCCTTTGTTTCGTTATCTTTCAGTGTTTGCATTTGTAGCAACTAGCCATTGTTTTAAGAGATGTTATAGATCTACAGGGAAACAACATAATATACTACAACAGCTCAGTTAGCTGGGCATCTATGAGAGTAGCGAGTGTGTCCCAGTGTAAACCCTCCCTGTTACAACTTTTTGAGCTCATTCTCAACAGGCCTGTAGTTCAGCACCATGGACAGCTCCCACAGGCAGACAGTGAGACCTGTAGTTCTTAAGCACTGATATGGGCTGAGCTGAGACAAAGGAGCGCAGCAGCATGTGTGTTGTCCCTGTTTCCACTCCCCTTGTTCTTGGTAAATTATTAAACAAATATTAAGTAAAATGCAAGACCCACTGGTTCCTGAGTCTGTATCACGTTGGTGTGGAAAGCTGGGGTGGAACTATGAGGTAATGAATCTGTAAGCCCAAGTATGGGAAATATACAGTATATAAACATGCAAAACAAAACAAGCCTCCAGTTTACTTTGGTGCAGTTGGTGAGTTTTGTCATGTGGACAGTCTACAGAGGGGTCTGCGCACATCCTCGTGGACATGGGCAGATTAAGAAAATTCACGTCACATGCATCCATACAGAGCTGGAACCACGAACTGTCCTTTAGACTGTGACGCAGAGGGACCATGGCCAAGATTAGAAGTGTAGTTTGTGCAGCAGCTACAAAACCTGTGGCCAATATCTTTAACTCCACAAAGCAGAACCCAACATTAAGTTAATAGAATAATAACGGTCAAAGTTTCTTCAAAAAGAAATTACTTTCATGTACTATGATAGATAACTTGGATTCAGCTGTGCTAAAACTAAAAGCAGGATAATTTGAACCCTGTGATGAATACACGAAAATAAGTAACTGAAAATGAGACATGAGCCACACAAAAGTTTCTGGAGTCTGAGGCGACAATAGACCTTAATTTAGGTAAAGTTTAACCCACTATACCCAGAGTACTACTGCTTCACCCCCTGATGCTGTGAGTGTCACTTTATACGGAGTGATATCACATAGTGAAGTAATGGTGGATTGGTTTGGTAAGGAGCCAAAGTCCTGGAGCATAATTTTGGAAGCCGAAAACTATATAAAGCTTGTTATACAACTAACCTGTGCAGTTGTAGTAAATGGTCTGTGTGTGTTCTGGCATCTATCCACAACGCTCACAGATGTAAGTGGTGCATCATGACAAGGATGATGACAATTTTCTGTTTACTTGTGCATGTGAGAGCTGGGTTGGGATGAATATCAACACTGCACAAACTGAACTATTATCTCTGTTTGGCAAACTGCTCACAACCTCTCTGCTGCTTGTGAAGCCTCTCATTAATGCTTACTGAGCTGCACTCAGGAATAGCAATGATAGAATGAGGAAGTTAGCCTGAGGTCAGTTGCATCCACAGTCCACAGCTGATGCAGTGGAAGAAAACCTGATAAAAATCTTCCACTGGTCTCTCCTTGGATTCATAGCTTCGACACTCAGCTCACTTCTTTGTCTTAATTCGTTCCCTAGTCAGTGCACTGTCTCCTACCCTCTTCATTGAGATTGAGGTTCTGCAGGCTCTTGTTCAGATTGCGGGCAGTAGTAGCAGCTCGGATGTTGGTGTAGGAGTTGACCGATCGCAGGCGTGGGATGGCCGGGCTGTCCCTCACTGGAGTCAGGTTACCAGGCTCTGGACAGAAAAACAGTACGCGCATCAGCTGTTAGAATGAAAAACACTTCCTGATCAGAGTGGATTCATTCAAGGGAGGTACTCCTCTCTCAATACTCAGAACTTTTTAATACTATTCAAACCGACCTTCAAAACAATTGAAAACTATTGAGAGTTTTTATATAAGCCTCCAATTACTTCGATTGGAAAATTTATTATCATTAAATACAATAACTAAGGGTTTAACTGCCAGATTAATTAGTTTGTCTATTGATATATCAAAAGCACAATGGGACGTCCTTGAAATCCTTGAACAAGAGCATGACTCCTCTCCCTGGTCTACAAATATTTTCTTTAACTGAGTTTTGAATTTCGCTGAAAAACTCAAACCCCCCCTTCTCCTGCCAAGTGGTTGAAAGATCACCTGTGACTGAGTAGTATCAACATCTTTACTCTTTATGATGTATTTCCTGTGGCTTATTATGTTACATTTTAAATATAATATTGTAGCCTGTTTGAGATGGAGGGATTGGGTTCAGAGGGCAGATGTGGTGTGTGTAGTAAATTGAGGCTTTCTTTCTGTGTGTTTGTGTGTGTGTGTGTGTGTGTGAGTGAGAGGGTGTGTGTGTGTGTGTGTGTGTGTGTGTGTGCCTGAATAATATTTTGTATATAACTTGGAAAATTAAAAGCAAAAAAAGCAACACTCATTAAAACCAAACAACAACTTCCAGTTAGTTTTCTGCTGGGTCTCTCCACACTGTAAAGACATGTCCAAGATTTACACGGTCACTACTAACGGGTGATGTAGTGATTTAATCTTAATCTGCTTCCACAGCCTACTTCAGTTTCCGTCAGCTTGTTCTAAAGTCCAGTCAGTTTGCAGATTCAAAGTGTGTGTGTCTGTCTACAGTACCTGCTGTGTTGGCTGGTGACGGCACTGTGTAGTTCTTCTCTTCCTCTATAAACTGGAGGGCAACTGTACAGAAGTTGCTTTCGTACTGGACCACCAGGTGACTCAGTGCTACGACCAGCTCCTGTCAAATACACGCAGACACATTTCAAACAGTGATCACTCAGTTCCTGTGGTTTTTTTCAAACTTTTTTCCAAGCCAATTGGGATTTTTCCAGGTATACAGTAACAACGGATCCATAATCCATACACTGTTTATCTCTCCTTGGTGATCTTGCTCTTACCAGTATGAGGAAATTAAAGTACAGACCCAGACCAGACAATATGTAAATGAATAACATTTTAACCACATTGCCTCCAGCTTTGTTTTGTACCCAGAGAAGTTGAGTTAGTTAAGAAGACTGATAACACTCATGTCTGTACATTGAGTACAGAGCTGTAGACAGGAGGTGACATAAAGACGGTAAGCAGCACCTCTAAAACTCACTTTGTTGTATCTTGTTTGGTTAATTCACACACAAATGTAAAAATGACAAGTTGTGGTTTTACAGGGAGTCATAAACAACAGCTCTGTCCTTTCTGCCAGTCTTTATGCCGAACTAAGATAATCACTTCCTGGTTGCAGCTCTGCACTTGACACAGACATGAGCTTTATCAGTGTTCTCATCCAACTCTCAGAAAGAAAGAAATAAATGGACTTATTTCCCAAAACTTTGAACTACACCTTCAAACTATGTTCTAAGAACTCCATTACATCTCTGCTAGTGAATTGAATTGAATTAATTAATACCAAGTCTTTCTGCTGCATTTGATATTCTGGATCACACCAGCATATTACTGGTTTTTGCTGGTCTGCAGTGGAGCAGTCCTCAATTCACAGCAAGGAAAGCGCATTCCTTACCACTGTGTTCAGTAGTAATACTTTCTATTTGCATATAATAACACCAGAAGCTGTAAGTGTTTTGTGAGTGGGTGTTGCAGTGACCTTGCGGACCACAGGGCTGCCATCATTGATGAGCTGGGCCAGCATCATGGCCACATTATGGTCAATGGTGGTTGAGTGGTCCGTCCTCTCAGCAGAATTTCCCACAAAAGTTCCCAGAGCGAAGACAGCTGCACACCTCACCTGCAGCGACACAGACAGTAACGCTTTCATCTTATACTCCTCTTACTTCAATACAGCTGTTAAACACAAAACATGAGGTTAAAACTTCCTGAGACGGCGGGATATTTTTTTCCACACTAATCTCCCCTCAGCACAATCTTTATCAATTGTCAGAAATCAGTTTGTAGCCATCTACCATGAAAACCTAATATTTGCTTGCCAGACGGATTCAGTGGATGACAATTTTAGAGATAATTATGGTTCAATTTTCTCTCAGTGTATCAGTATGAAATGCAGGGGAGATTATCGGTGCTATGTGTCCTGGTGAGCTGCTTTTTGTCTTCATTGGATGTTTAATCCATATTTGCCATCGCACAGACGAAGTTTTCCATGAGGCATTGGATTCACAAAAGGAACCAAATTACAGCACGAGAATGAATATTTAGTTGTGTTGTTTGTTGTGGCGACAGAAAAACATTTTTGCAGACATCAGGATGCATCATCACAACCACCTTTTAATCTTGTGATGCAGCTTTAGTGCAGCAGAGAGCTGCTTTGATATAGTTTGCTCTGCTCTAATTAAAATGATCAGCTGAAACATTTCAGATGAACATGTTGTAATTTTCTTCCTAAAACCTGGAACAAAATAAAGTTATAAAAGTACTGTGACTTGAGAGCTAATTAGAAAACAAGAATGCAACACTGGAGAGCATCCTAATCTGCCATCACTCGGACACTTTACACTGTATATGCACTGGAATATAACACAGTGAGAATACCATGAGCACCTGTTCTAATACAGTTCAATACAACAGCCCTTCATGTACACTCAGCCCTGCACGCAACAGACTTTGTCTAAAGTAGAAGTTTTTCTTCTTTTTTTGTGCAAAATTTCACCTTTGTAATTTTTGTCTTTCCACATATGCAAACTGAAACAATTGAACATTAGGACTTAACAAGCTATTTGTAGTTTTGCTATTGCTACATAGCTAAAGTTAGCATTACTGACCAGTCTTGCCAAGAGCTTCAGCCATCATTGCATTTACAAGACAAGACGTTATAATACTTCCTCTGAGTAGCACTTCTTCCTCATGGCAGACACTACAGTGACTCTGTATCGGAAAGTGACGAGACAGTCCGACCAGGCAGAGCTAGCTGGTTAGCATGCTAACTTCGGTACAAGAAAAGAAGTGATAGAAACACAAGCAAAACAAGAGGGTTGCTTTCTTTCCACTGCCGGAGACAGCTCTTGGTGAGTAAAGGAAGTTTGATGCTGAACATTTCTTCTAGACTGATAAGTGAACAGCTGTTAATGCTAACAACAGCTATGTGGCAATAGCAAGACTAACAAATAGCTCTTTAAGTATACTTAAGTATAGTTTTTGTGGAGGATTTTCTGAGCACTGAACAGAGGGCAACACAGCATAAAACAGTATTACAACAATGAATACATTACACTAAACATACACTAGAAAAGAAAAAAGAAAACTAACTAACTCTGCACAAAAGAGCATTAACAATATCCAATTAAGAGGTACATTCAGGTTTTTGAGTCTTCAAAAACATAACTATCAACAAAATGTCAACAAAAATATTCAGTGTGTGTGTGTGTTGTAGTGAGTTGCATGCTGTGACTAAATGACAGTGTCATCTTGGTTCTGTCCCCTCAGACTTAATTAAACTCTGTGCTTAGTCGCTGATCTCTGCTCCTCTTTCACATTCTGTCCCCTCAACTACTCATCACTTTCTTCAATCTTCTCCATGTGGCTCTGGGGGAAAGCACACACACACACACACACACACACACACACACACACACACACACACACACACACACACACACACACACACACACACACACACACAGAGGTACTACAGCATCTGAGCTGTCTCAATCTAGCACCGGAGGAGAACTTTAAAATGTAGTCATTTAACTGTAAATGTGCTGTTTCTATTGCACCGTTTGATGCAGTCAATTATGATCAGCCAGTGAGAGTCTCCTGTGACCTTGAATAACACTGAAATTCTGAATGCAAAGTAAATGAACAACCTGGAAAAACAGCTGAAAAAAAAAAAACACAAGTAAACGTGTGTTTGTTTGTGCGGGCGCAGACAGATGTGTCTGCAGACCTCAGTTTCAACTCTATGGTCAAAGCAGCTGTCTGTCCAAGGGAAGGAGGAAGATACTGGTACAAACAGATGTTCCTTGTGTGTGCATGTGTATATTACTGAATGCAAATTTGTGGTGTGTGTGTGAGTGGGGGCACCAAGTGTCTGGGTGAACTTCAGGGCAAACTCTGTCTCGCTGTCCCTCTGGTCGGCACACGGCCCAGTCAGATGCTGACCATCACAGCACAGCGGGTCCAAACTGTTTGGATCGGCTCTGTGTGTATTTTATCTTCCACAAAACTGGCTCTTGTTAGTTGTAGTAGTGCCACAGGATATCAGTACACCAGAGGAGTCCTACAAAATTTTCCGTTGTTTTCAGTGTATTTTTGCTCTGGTTTGCAATACCACATTTTGCTCTGTATTCAGTAAGGTGTGTGTTCTAGTGGTACTGGTTAAGACCCACAGCTGTCGAAAAAGACTTATAACTCTATTACTTGCAACTGTTTATGATAAATATAAAAACTGCAGCTTTATAAAATATGCATGTTGACGGAACAGAAATCTAAGGTCAACATTTTAAGATCTGGAGATGCCAGTTAACACTGAATACTACAAAATACTATAAAATAAAAGTGACTGTAATCTAGTAGAAAAATACTTACTTACATATGCCCCAAAATTCATAAATTCTGGATTAAGATTCACTGTTATGTTATGTAAGGTTATGTTATGAACATGCAGTTGAACTTGACTGTAAGATGTTTTTCTGCTTTTCTGCCATCAATGTAGGACTGAACCCAGACACCAACAACAACTGGACAACACCTGCAGGGCCTCCTTCTCAGCACTGGGTGACAGAGTTAGTTAGATGCATTGGGATATAGGATGTGTAACAGAAATATTTCCCTGAGTATGTATATTTCTTTTAAAGAAATCTGCTTCTTTGTGAAGCGAAGGCTAATCCTTGAACCAACTAAAGAAAATGAAAATAAAAAATAAAGATTTTTTTTATCTAAGTGTTATTACCTGTGACAGCTATGCAATCTACTTTTCTCTTGTCAGCTCTAGCTGCAAAAAGGACTGAACATCTCCACAAAAGGATCTAAATAAGTTACCTTGAAACAAACAGCAAAATCTAATGCAAATGATGCCTGACAAGCTTATTTATTACAAATAACTTAAGTGTGATTTAAGCACTTGTAAAGATATCATGGCTTCTTAATTTGCTCCTGCTGTAAGGGTCAAACATCCCTGCTGACTTTTTAAATGTATCAGGACTCTGGTATTAACCTCTCACCTCAGGGATGGGGTCCGACAACAGGGTGTACAGCTTCTCGTGGGCGCTGTCTCGGACTCCACACCAGCGAGCTGGGTCGAAGTTCTGCCAGATCCGGCCCAGGCAAATGGCCACCCATTGGCGGAGCAAGGGATGAGGGTCTGACAGCTGCTCCAGGCAGTTGGCTATTAGGTTGCCCTGGAGACAGGCCTCCTGGTTGGAGGAGAGGAGGGTGAAGGAAGGAGAATTGAGTGCTGCAGAATAACGAGTGTGAGAGATGTTACGTTATTCAAATGTGTCCTTAGTGTTATTGGTTTTAAAAAGGGGGGAATACCTGTGGAGAACATTCAGGAAATATAAGAAGATTTTAAGGACTGTAAGTTATGAAGTAATAACAATGAAAAGGCCGTTTGTCTTAGACATAATTTCCCTTGAGTCACTAACTTTTACAAACGCTCACAGACTCTGCTCTGTTGTCCTTGTAGAGCAGTCCTGGACAAATTGTGCTAGCCAACAATGACCTAGCAGTTTTTAATATTTCATAAAAGGACGATATCAGCATCATATATCAGTCTAACCCTCCTGAGCAGCATCAAGGCATCAGGCTGGGAGCCGACTTGTAACTCATTACCCAGCTAATCACCACTAACCTGTAACCTCACTCTGTGTGATGTACAGAAAGATTATGAGGCTCTGCAGCAGTACAACTTATTCCCTTGAACCTCTTCAGTCTTCCTAAAATCTTTTTTGTGAACAAAAGGTAACTGGTCCATCAAGGTTTGCGTCAGTGCGAAGGAAAAGCTGGAATGCTTTATTCAAAATCCTTTTAAACTTTCTTTTTGATTTTTTTTTTATTTGTGCAGTGCATTAACAACTACTCTCCACTCTTGTTCCCAGTTGCCTTTGTCTTTCTTCTTTTCATGAAGTGACACAAGTTCACTCTTTACTTGATTGTAATGGATGTTAAACTTTTGTAGAAGTAAGAAAACGGACTTGTCCAACATTATGAAAATCAAGTACAGTCACTAATAAAGGCCTTGTTCGAAATTATCTTTACTAGAAAGGCTCACATGGTAGAGTCAACATAATGTACACTTCCTGGCCCTAAATCTCATGCGATCCAGTGCAACTGCTCTGTCACATATTTTCCCTTTACCAAACTTATAATGGTCAGTTTTTGTTAAAACTTACAACAAATACAACTAAATGTTTATTACCAAGGTCGCAGTTAGTGATGGAGTTGAACTGTACAGCATTATACGGAAATGTGTTTCCAATATTCTCCCTTTATGTTTGTGAATGGGGCAAAAAGAAACAGTAGATACAGCTCAACATAATGCAGTGCAGCAGAATGCCCCCACAGCGTAACACAGCCACCGGATCCCCTCACTGCAGGGGTCAAGCATTCAGGCCTGTGTACTAAGAGAACTTAGTGTACACCACACATGTATTCGCCCACCTATTGAGAACATGGTAAAGGATGACTCATCTGATCATATCACTTTTTCCACACCTCTGTAGACCAGTGCGGATAGTGTTCACACCACTGAACTCTCACATGTGCATTCATCTTTGTAAAGAGGGGTTTATTCACTGAAACCTATTGTAATAGGAGACACAGTCTGATTATGTCCTGCATTGACATTCTCAGTCACCCGAGGAAGAGCTGCTCTTCTGTTTCTCCTTACATATCGCGCTAATGCACAAACATCACACTCATCAAATGTGTGCTGTCGACCACAATCTTTGTTACTGAAGCTCCTGCCATCCTTGCCCCAGCAATGAACCCTCTTTCAAAGTCACTTAGATCTTTTACTCTTGCCATCTTGATACATAATCATATTTAACTGGGCCTGTTCTGCATTTTTATTCCTGCCACAGAGCATGACTGGATGTTAACTGCTTAATTGTACCATGCAGTGCACCTGTGTGGAAGCATCTGCATTTGTCGTGTTTCTCGCTCATTGAAAATGTTTCCTTCTTCACCGTCTGTACAACCTCAATAATAAGCACAGAGTTAAATTAAAACCTCCGTCATTCATATACTGAACTTTATCATCTTTGTAAAGGTGGAATTTATGGCTGAGTTGTATGGGCTCCAACTAGGGTCAAAAAGATTTTGAGCATGTAAAGTGATGTTCACGGATAATTCCAGAGTTTGTAATTGAAAATGAACCTTTGTAAACCTGTAAAATAAATCACAGCCCAGGTGGGTTAAACTAGGCCTATATCTAAAATATTGATAAAGATTTAATGTGCTGTGTATGTATGCAAACTCACCTGGGTTGTGGGAGAGCCCACAACAGAACCACCTGCGTTCTGATTAGACTCTGCTTTGTGATTGGATTGTCCAATCAGATTCAGGTGTGAAAACAGGGTCAAAATCAGTTGTAACTGGAGCATCATACAAAGTGTGACTGAGTTTTACACACAGTTTTTTTTGCTTTGTATCTGTAAACATATATTCACAGAAGCACTTCTTCTATTACAGTGTCTATGTATAACCTCACCACCGATATCAGATGTTCACAGTTTTCATTCACAGTGCCTCTTTTTTTTTTCTTTTTCTATTACAAATCTTTTCTGCATGTGCACAAACCGAATATCTCATGAAGATTTATTCCACAGGTTTACAAACACTGATTTACAACTATAAACTGTGGTAAGTATTGGTGATCAGTTTAGCGCGAAATCTTGTTGACCCTAATTTAAGTTTTTGTATTGGATTGTATTATATTTTACAAGTAAATAAAGTGGCCAATGAATGTATATTTCAACAGCAAGAATTCCGTCAGTACAACAGTATTCATGTCATTCTCACCGCTCTGCCGCTCTGAGCTTCTCTTTTTAACAGAAATAATATTAAATCACTTCTACTTTGCCATTTTTTCGGTTATTGAAAATTATAAAGTCCCTTCTGTGTGACAACAACACGATGGTCACGCGCTGAGGTGTCTCGACAACAATCAGCAGTGACTCGTGGCCCCGTCTCTTCAGCCCCCTCTACGTTTCTCTACGCGCCTCAGATCGCTCTTGCATTGGTCACTTGGCTGTGATTGCTGCTCCCGGCTGAACCCTGAGAACTGGAATATTAAGACGCCAGTGCTCGGTGACGTGTTTGTAACAGCGATACAGCAGTAATGAGCACTGTTGTTGAAAGTAAGAGGGATAAATAATGGAGATGTGGAGCAGGCAGAGTCTCTCTCTGTAATGTTGGGTATCATCTATTATTTACAGGCCTGTGAGAGAGGCAGACGCATTAAGTACACAGTGGTATGGAAGAAGAATGGGTGTTTCTGAGCTTGGGAGCACATATAGCTTTTCTGATTTGTTAAATTTATACAATGTCAAGAGAGAGAAGTACTGTAAGGTGGTGAAGAAAGAAATGAATGAGTCAAATAACATTCACAACTAGATTGAAAAATAACTGCAGAGAGCAGGATTGTGGAAGCGAAAAGGAGTGATGGTGGAATATTTCTTTGTGGAATAGTGTGTCAAGAAGTGTGTGTGAGTGTGTGTGCACTCCATGAAATGACAAGCTACATCATCCCAACATCACACCCTTGGACATTTGATCAGCGTCAGACACAAAAGGCTTCTGGGATTGAACACCGGAGGCCAGGAGCAGACCGAAGTGACACTTGTGGTGATAAAGTGTCACCAAGGAGGTGGCTGGGACGGAGACGGAGATTATAGAGGGGACTGTTGGTGACAAAATGTCACATAACCAATATCTCCCGGAAATACACAATGGACGATAGAGTCATCTCTCAAAGTGACACCTGGCCCTGAAAGAACCCGCCTTGGTTCTGGTGAGGGAAGTAAATGAATAATTTGGTACATTCTCCCTTTGGGCTTCTAGCAAGCATACAGACAGCAGTGTGAAAACACACACATATACAAATATGCTCATACACACACTCTCGTACCTGTCCTGTGTTGTAGCTGTTGACTATAACCGCCAATATGAAGACAGCCATTGTTCGATGCTCAGCCTGAAACAGAGAAAGGTGAGGTTGAGACAGAGATGCACTTCCTCCTACAATGTAAAGCATTCACTGAAATAAGAAATGTTTACTTTAACCACTTTAGTTCTGTAATCCAAACTTCAATTAACTAAATGATGTTTCAAAATTAAAATACTCCTAGGAGAAGAGGACAGGGAAGATTTTGCTGCCCAATATACTATATATATATATACAGTATATATTTATATATACTGTATATATATCAACAGGCCACAACCTGACACCTAAACACACACACGCATTCATGCACTCACACACATGCACACACACAACTGTCATGCCAATAAAGCACCTTTGAATTTGAAAGGAACTTTGAGATCTCATTTGATGTAACACTTCTTTCTGAAATGTTTCTGTTGAACTCTTCAACTCATGTCAGTAAAGTGACGAGTTAAAGATCAAAATCAAAGAGAAAGACAGTGATATGTACCATTATATTCTGTTCAAGAAAAGACCTATGTGGGTAATTTTCTTCACAAACGTGTTGACATGATTGGTCAATACTCACTGGCATGTAATTGTCGGCCAAAACTGACAGGAAGTACTTGTGTCCGTTGTCTTTTACCAGGTCAGCTTGACATGACTGCAGAGACAGAGGGAGAGAGAGAGAGAGAGAGGAAGAGAAGTGTGCACTTTACTGCAGATGTTGCTTAAGTTTACTTTCCACTCATAAAGCAGTTCTGTCATAGAGAGTAGTTGGACATTTCACCCTTGGTAGCGCCTCCATACTGTTGATTGTTTGTATTGAAAAATTTCTATGTAGGTGTCATTTTCAACAATTTCGTTATTGTAAAAAAATGCCATGACTTTATACTTTACATGACTCACAAAGCAGATTACTTTGAGGCACTTACTGCATTAGGCTTTGGGGTTTATTCATATTTTTAGTCAAGCTGACAGTTAAGCTAACTGCTCTAGATCAAAGTCACTGTCTGATTGAAACATTTACAAAAAGTGTGTGGGAGTGTGCAGTTTTCTTTTATGAAAAATAAAATCAAGGCAAAAGGAGTCATTTGAAATGTATGACTGGCAGTCTTTCTCAATAATGAACAAATATTTCATCATAGCAAACTAAAAACAACTAAAGCAGCTTTATCAATTTCAGATTTGATTTACATTTACTGAAAGCATCCAAACACATAAATATACCATACTGTATGCTTGAACAGAGCTGCTTTTTGTCATTGTAAAATCATCAGTACAAAAAATTAGGCCCCTGACATAACTGTGCAGACATTCATTAACAGTCTTTCTTTAATCTTTCGTAATTTTAACCCCCTAAAGCCACGTGTCCTTTATTCATCCCTTGTGTAAGTCATTACAAAGCAGGCAGAATTCATATAATGAGATTAAAGGAGTGTGTGGCGTTTAGGGGGATCGACTGGCAGAAATGGATGCATGAATGCATAATTATGTTTTTATTAGTGTATAAACACCTGAAAATAAGATTCATTGTGTTATCTTAGAATGAGATCTTTATATCTAAATATGGAGTGGGTCCTCTTCCATGAAACCCACCATGTTGCACCGCCATGTTTCTACAGTAGCCCACAACGGACAAACCAAACATTGGCTCTAGTGGGGGCCTTTCGTGTTTTAACATTACCTATAGGCTACCGTAAGGGTCTCCTTTCGGGTGGGGGGAGGGGTATTCAGTTGATTACAATCTGCAACCTCACTGCTAGATGCCACTAAATTTTACATACGGCACCTTTAAACCTATGATGTAAAAACACTGATAAAATTTCAAGACAACGAGGGTTTAGAAGGGATGAGGCAGAAAAACTTTAATGTGTATGAGTGTTTTACGTGACTTACACTGTCCACAGCCAGGATCTTAGCCCAGATGAAAACCAGCAGTGGCCGCAGCTCTCTGGCTGAGCTCTGAAGCAGCTTTAACACATAGGGGAAGATCCCTACAGACAGGGCCTGGAAACGCAAGCAAAAACACACAAACACACACAACAATGGTGTTTACAAAACCCTATTGATATTGCAGTTGTGTGCCAGGCCCTGCTGCTGAATGTGATTGTCCAAGTTCGACCAACCAGACACACCTGTGGCCTGAAATGTAAACATGTACACAGGAAGGAGCAGGGATAGTTAAAGACAATGGTCTGACTTCTGACTGAAGCTCAAATGTCTGTGCTCAGTTTCAGCTTTGCCAATAAGAGGAGTTTGCCCTTTGGCGCATGCAGTATAGTATGCTACTAACTACGACTGTAAGCGATACTCAAATCAAATAAACTACACAACATATTAAGAAAAATATTACTTAATGTCTTCAAAATAATAAAAAGAAATAGCTTAATTAGTTAGCTTCAACAGAGTGTTTCATGTAGGTATAGCACTTCACTATCTGTTTACAAAGTAATGTATTTTCTGTTCAGCTGAGTTGGGTCCAGTAGCGGCAGCTAGCTAACTGAGAGTGACCTGTCAGTTATGGTAAACATGCTACAAAATACGCAGTGTTTTTTTCTAAGCCTTAAGAAATAGTTCAACATTTTAAGGATTACCCTGTTTCAAGTTCTTTCTGAAATTTAAGTGAGATAATTGATACCACTTCAAGTCTGTCCACTAAACATGGAGCTGCATCGAGGATGCACACTTATTAACACACTCTTTCTTTAATCTCTACAATGTGTTCATTTTAGTTTTCAAGGTGTATTTTTGAACTGTGGAGAGAGTCAGGCTAAGGGGACTGTTGGTGACAAAAACGTCACATAACCAATATCTCCCGGAAATACACAAGTTACTGTTAAGCTAACTATGTCTCCAGGTTCAAACATTTCCAAACTGCCACCATAAGAAGACAGAAGAATTAGTAGTTTTTGAAACAACAGCTTCTTTAATAATGCACTTTGTGACTATTTATTTTTTTAAAAACAACCCATATTAAAGGGTCAGAATACCAAAATTACAAAAAGATATATTTTCTCATTTACCTGGTAGCTAGCCATGCAGACAGTGTATATTTGATGTGCCAAGATTTTGAGATAGCTGCCTTTGAAACTCCCTTATCGCAATACAGCAGATTATATCACAATATCAGACAATAACGTTTTGTTCGTGCTCTTTAGATGTCATGCCCTGTGAGCTGTGTGTTCATTGAAAAATTACATCTGAAAAGGTCATCAGCCATGTGTCTTTCCTGTAAAAATGTCTCTGGATAATCCACACACCTGTAGTTCCATTGAAAACTCTTCAGAGTGAAGTCTGTGAATCATCCAGAGTAACACAGATACTTTTTTGTCATTTTTTCATTGGTTTAACTGCCACAAATAAGATTCATTTCACCTTTATTGTGTTGGGGTGTGGACAGAAATCTCAGTGACAGAGATCTCAAATCCTCAGCACATAAGACTACCAATGTTTGGTTAGACACCCTTTCATACCATCTGAAGGCTTCATGCTATTCTAAGGTAGAGAACTGGTCTCTTTTTAATTGAAACCCATCATTATCAGCACAGTAAATGTAGAGCTCAACGCACCAGACTGACAGCCCAGGGTCCGAGGTCCAGAAACCGTCCAAGCAGATCTAGAGCCCGAAGCCGATGCACTTGACTAAGGAGGACCTGAAAGAGAGCAGAGGTCACAGGTCAGCTCTGCTGCGTCTGAATCAAGAGGAAGTCCGAGATTAAAGGAAGAGGAGGAAGAGGAAGGACAGCGGGAGAAACTGCAGCGAGGAGTGAGGAGGTGGAGTGAAACAGGTGGCTCTCCCACCACTACTACTGACACACTGGCACCCGGTTGAACTTGTTTACTCACACACACACACAGACACACACATAAATATAGTGTGTGTGTATGTGCACGGATGTGTGGACATCTGTGTGGGCGATTGGGTGCGTCCTCTTGGCTGCCATTTCACTTGGCTTCTTAAGGAGATACTGTTTCAGGACAATACGTCAGTGTGTGTGTGTGTGTGTGTGTGTGTGCATCTTGGTTTTGGTTTACGTGTGTGTTCACGCAATATAACAGTGATGCTATGTGGGATCACGATGTAGCTGTTTTGGCCAAGGAGGACTATTTTAAGGATGCATATGCTATGTGCTAAAAATGTAAATGTGTGTGTGCGTGTGTGTCGTTTTAAGCAGCATTAATCGCAGTGCAGCACAAAGCCTGTGTGAGGGCTGGACACTGCTACATCCCCATGTGACTGTCCCAGTGTGTGTGTGGGAACAAGCATATGGAGGCCCCCAGGTACACACACACACAGACAGGGACATTTCCTCTAACACATAATTTATAATTAGTGTCTTCCGTGACTTTAACCTGGTGAGCATGACCACACCGACAGAAGGAGGCCGGGGAAGACCAGCCCAGGGTTACCTCCAGCTCCAAGGAAGAGCGTGTGAACATGGACCTGTGTGTGACGTAGGTGTGTGTTTGTGTGCGCGCTCTGTAGGAATAAGAAAAACCACCATGCCAGAATACGGACGGAGCAAGAATGAGGATTTGACAAAGATGTCAGTTTCATTTACCACAGTCACACATACATAAATTCATTTTATGCACATGATTCAAGTAAAACATTAACATACATTTCATCGTAGCAGGGATGAAAATAAAATCCCTGAGCAATGCTGTGATATTCAAATGCATGAGAATGTGTGTGCATATTTGTCTCTGTTCCTTATCTGTGTAACACCCTGACTCCAATCTCCTTTACTGCGATGAGTAAGCACTTCCTACGATCACGCTGTGTGCATGAGCTGTGAGACACACGTCGTCATGGTATTATATGATGCATATGCATGTCCTTAATCACTTTACTGACAAAGCCAAATGTGTGTGACTGTGAATGTGCAGCTGTTAACGTAACATCACAATTTAGGGATGTTGTAATCCCTATGCAAAATCTGTTAATCCTTTCTGGATGAAACGGCTGTTGTCAAGACAACGCTGCACTGTGTCTCTCCTTCCTGAGCTCTGTTGTCCTCCCTTTGCTCATTTCATTAAAGAGCATTATTGATGGATTACTCTCTGTTGCCCTTTTCTTGTCGCTCTTTGCGTCTTTCAAATGGAGCCAGATTATATTTTGGCATCAAATCGTAAATCCTCTAAGAACATGTTAGCCTAAGTTCATTCTTATACAACTGTGTGCTTAAAAGGGTATAAAACCTGTTTATGTGTCCACATCATACATCAGAGGGCATGAATTACTTTCCCATCATGGTGTAAAGCTGCATAATGTTGCTTAATCTTAAAGGCTACAGCTGCTTTACTTCCTCTCTTGCACTTCAACAGCACGCATGCACACAAACACACACACACACACACACACACACACACACACACACACACACACACACACACACACACACACACACACACACAGTGCTCCCCTGGCCGTGCGCCTTTTCCTCGGCTTTTAACGGGTCCCGACAGAACTGCTGTATGGACGGGCTGCAGCTCGCAGCGTGCTGAGTCAGCAGGAAATTACCATTCAACACGGACAGCAGCACACCACTACTCCGCTGTGGTATAAGACAACACCACAACTGTACGACCCCACGGGAGGGTGGTGGTGGGAGGACGAGGGAAAGGGAGGGAGGGCTGTAACTCAACAGTTGACGCACACTTACAAGGTTTTGGCAAGATTTCACCCCAATTAAAGCATCCCAAACAAATTTAACACCACTTCAGGGAACACAGTAGACACTGTTCTTGTCACAGCCTTTGTTGCAGTGTTGTAAGGAAGAAAATTGGGCCGCAAATGCTGGGCTTAATTTGCAGGAATTATTTTGCAGCGCAAATCACACGTTTCTGTTGGCAGAGCTAAAGTGGTGCCCTGAAGGAAAGAGCGTCTTGTGTAAAGGTGGAGAACGCAGATAAATAAAGGGAGAGAGAAAAAAAAAAAGAGGAGCAGCGAGAGGTAGTGCTGTTAAAAGTATTGTTGTAATAAAATTCTATGCTAATGGTGGACTCTTGGCAGGTGATGTGTGTGTTTAATAAAGACACTCGTGGACCACTGAGTTTGCTCGTGCCTAATGAGAAGTGAAGCCATTCCTGACTTCACCTGCCTGACAAAGTAATGGCTCTTTGGTATTCAAACACAGGTCACAGTTATATAATTAATAATAATTCAGCTGCATGATATTTGACTCCTGGGGCACGAGTGGAAGTGCTGGTGGAAATAATATCAAGCAAGAAGAATGTTGTTAGTTCTCTCACTGCTGCACCAGTGACGGATTTTAAACTCATTTATGTGGTTTAATAAATGACCATCATGAGTTGAAGAGACTCTCACCCCCACTTCTCACTAAGTAACCCAGATCCCCTCAAACATTTTCTCATCAATCCCATCATTTATTCTGCTTCCTGTTTCATGCAGAGCAGACACAGTGTTAGAGCAAACATGATGTCTTTAAAGAGTTTTGTTGGATGGTCATACTGTAATCACTTAACAGCTGAGTAAGACTGATGATTAATGCGGTTTTATCTGGGTTATTTCTGCTCTTTTAGTATTTCTTTATGCATTATTTTGGTAGCGCACAGTAGGTCTGCTATCAGAATAAATGAGAAGTGTGAGGGGAGGAGAGATGATTTGTAAAAAGCTTCCCTGGCTGGACAAAAGAGGTTCGCAGAGAGGGGAAAAAAATGAATTAAACTCACTTTTAAAGGTTGAGATTAAGAAGAATCAGGTCAGGACTTGATGAAACTGCTTCATTCACAGTATTTTGTGGTTTGTTAAATGACAAATAATTCAAGGAGAAAGTTATTAAAGTGCTCTTAAACACTATAAACCATACATGTACTGTAGCCGCCATGTTAGAAGAGTTACTGAAATGCTTTTGTGGTAAATTAATTGCACTTATACAGCGCCTTTCTAGTTCCCATTCACCCATTCGCTCACATATTCATAAAGAGACATACAGAAACATAGTGAAACTTGAGACATACGGCTCCTCCTGTACTGTGAAACATACAGTACTTCATTTACCAACAGAGTGCTCCACTTTAAATCATACAGAGAATAAAGTGAGAACATTGGTGTGCGAGTGCGAAAACTGCTGTCCAGTGCAATTTCAGGATGCAAAACATGAGACACTGAGAGAAGAAAGAAACAAACAGAAGATCTGTCTGCATCATATGTATCAGCTTATTCCACTATTCTCTTTTCTTTAAAGGTTTTTATTTCTTTACTTTATAGTCTGAAACTCTCTACACATCACTGTTCCAAAAGCCATCAGTACTGACTACCACTAAAAATGTTTTCACAGCTCATAATGAGTTATAATTATAATACTGAATTATCACCAAAGCTCAGCAAGACAGAGAAAGAGAGAGAAACATTTGGAAAAAATATTTTTCAAACTTTAGGAGCCTGTCTGATTTTGAAAAGCTTCATGTTTTGTTCGTGGGAGCGAGAAACACAGCAGGAGCAGCAGCTCAGTTTTTACCTGCCTTCTACCTTCCATCAGACAGTGACGGTCTTCTTATATAATCAGGCTTCATTAAAAGCTGCATAAAGCTGCTTTTTTTCTTCATCCACTACTTTCCTTTACATGCTTTGGAAACATGAATGTATTTAGATGGCGCAGTAAAAAAGCAAACTGACACAGAAGAAAAAAGAGAGCGTGTATCAAGGTGAGTGCTGTGTATGTTTGTGTGTGTGTGTGTGCTTTTGTACCTGCAGTACAATGGGGAGCTGCTCAGGAGGGTTCCTGTTCTCCACACCCATCGTCAACCACACCTGAAACGCCGTCAGCTGCTCCGCGAAGAAAGGACTGTGCTGTGGACATAAATCACACACAGTGTTTATCACCATTTTGAAGAAATTATTGTGCTTACTCATTCTTCCTCTCTCTCTCTCTCTCTCTCTCTCTCTCTCTCTCACACACACACACACACACACACACACACACAATGAGCCAGTCTGCAGTGACTAGCCTATCATTTCATAAAAGCCCTGACACAATGAGCTCAGAAGTGACACTGCACTGCAGTAACGACATAAATCCTGATCTATCATGATCACCTTCCCTCTCCTCTCTCTCTCTCTCTCTCTCTCTCTCTGCTGCCATGGCAGTTTGCCTGATTGATTAGTTGCTGGCCGCAGAGTTTTTGATCGCCTGGTGTTAATAATGCTGCAGGAATTACGACAGCGTTGTGCAGACTGTTGATGGATGTGGAGAGGGGAAATATCAACACTTCTCAGCTGGACAGCGAAATTAATTTGTGCATAATTAAAGCTTAATAACTCCACACACACACACACTCACAAACTCAGTAGTACATGAACAAAAAAGCTGTATAGTTGGGTAAAGGTCTAGCTCGGAGGTTGAGCCTGTGTATTTACAACATCTTAAATCCTGGTATAATGTTGTATTTTGGAGTGGGAATGTGGGAATGTAGATCTCTGTAAAACCATGTTTCGTTTCCTTTATAGAGACGTGATACTTTATGATAGATAATGTTGTATTAGCATCTTTACTACAAAGAGTTCTGTGCTTTACAGATTTAGGAGAATATTAACTGTAAATGAAAATATGATTAAATCAGGACCAAGTTAAAGTCAAGACTTTTTAAAATTTAGAATAAAATTTAATATCTCTTTCAGATAAAAATATGAAAGTATGATGAAGTAATGTACACTGCTCAAAAAAAAAAGAAGGGAACACTTAATCCTCACAGTATAACACCGAGTCAGTTAAACTTCAGGGATATCAATCTGGCCATTTAGGAAGCACAAGTGATTGTGAATCACCAATGACCTGTTTTGGTGCAAATGAAAGTGACAACAGGTGCAATGGAGAGGCAAAAGCAAGACAACCCCCAGAAAGGGAATGGTTTTACATGTGGTTTACATCTCCTGATCCTTCCTGACTGGCGGTACCTGCAGCCCAGTCAGGTTGCACAGGTAGTCCAGCTCCTCCAGGATGGCACATCCATACCTGAGGTCGCAAGAAGGTTTGCTGTGTCTCCCAGCACAGTCTCAAGAGCATGAAGGAGATACCAGGAGAGCGGTCGTTACACGAGGAGAGCTGGACAGGGCCGAAGAAGGGCATCAACCCAGCAGCAGGACCGCTACCTGCTCCTTTGAGTGAGGAGGAACAGGAGGAGCACTGCCAGAGCTCTACAACATGACCTCCAGCAGGCTCCTGGTGAGCATGTTTCAGACTGTCAGAAACAGACTCCATGAGGGTGGCATGAGGGCCCCACGTCCTCTAGTAGGACCTGTGCTCACAGCCCACACTGTGCAGATCGATTGGCATCGCCAGAGAACACCAGAACTTGACCTAAATCCAATTGAGCACCTATGGGACGTTACGCATCTGACGCTGCCAAGTACCGCCACAGACCGTCCAGGAGCTCACTGACGCCCTGATCCAGGTCTGGGAGGAGATCCCCCAGGACACCATCCTCCGACTCATCAGGAGCATACCCAGACGTTGTTGGGAGTGCATACAGACACGCGGGGGCCATACACACTACTGAGTCACATTATGAGTTCCCATGATGAAATTCACGCAAGTACGATCAGCCTGTGATTTCAAGTTTTCACTTTGATATTTAGTGTGATTGTGAATCCAGCCCTCAGTGGGTTGAGGATTTTGGTTTCCACTGACTGACATTTTGTTCTCAACAAATTACACAATGTACATCAGTAAAGATTTTTGACTTGAATAATTTGTTCATCAAGCTATGATGTGTGTATTTCTTTTTAATTGTCCTTTGCTCATTGCTGCAACCTTCTATACCTGTGCTGTAGTGACAGGACTGATGCTGCTGACTGAAAATTTACAAAAACAGACTGAACAGACTTTTTATTCCTTATGACGTTTATTTTTTCCAGGAAATGGAGTATTTATTTTTTACCAAAATAACGTAGAGAGAGTGGAGGAACTAATTTCAGCCCTGAGTAGTGCCTGCAGTCTTTTAGGCTACATAAATACCCAAGCTGCATCACCAATAAAATACCCCCCCCCCCAGTATAGTATGTAGCCTGAGACACAACACCCAGGGCAAAAGACATTTGCAAAACATTCCCTGCTGCTTGTTAAGCTTATTGCTCTTAGCGCATGGTAATGAAATAATTAAAGATGACTCCGATGAAAGAATCAACTCTCCCTCTCAAAATGCAAATTGATAACAATAATGTCAGGGAAATACCATACTCAGTGACTGAGATGTAAAATCATGTAAAACAATGATCCCTGATCATATAAACCAGAATCATATACGTGTAATACACACTGACGATGACCAACACATGGAGAACAGTGTACAGGGACCTGGTTAGTGTCTGTGAGGAGCATTGACAGCCAGGGAATTTAGATCCCACACTCAGGTTTGAGAGGAAGTTCTGTAGGTTTCACCGCTCAGGAGCCAACACACAGAAACCACACACTCTATTTCTCTAACCAAGAATGATTCATATTTGCCATTTATGATCGTACGAACAGTATTTTGTATATATTTAGGTACAAGGCGGAACTGGGTGGAAGTAAAAAAAAAAACAAAAAAAAAAAAAAAAACAGGAGAGAAAAGCTATTCAAACATACTGGATTTTAAGTTTCCCGACCAACAGCAACTCTCCCGACAGAGAGAAGCTTAAACAAGTGGTTTCTGCTTGTTTTCGATTAATTCAGTGTGAAACCTAATTTTTCTTGGTGTTTTTCATACACACGTAGCTCACTGTTACCCTGAGGCAACAAAAAGCTTGGGGGGAAGGGTGGTTGAGAGTAGATAAGTGTGAGATAGAGTGATAAAATATTGCCAACATTCATTAATTACCAAGAGTAGAGAATAAAGCTGAATTTGTAACAGTTGAGGCGCATCAGAGAGGAATTAAAGGCTCCTGAAATACAGAGCAAGACAGAGAGGGAAGATCTCCTTTAGTAGTCCTCAGAGGCTCAATTATGGTGCTGGTAAGTGTTTTCGGCCTGAGTGCAAGAGAAAGTAGAGGAGGAGCGAGGACGGAAAACTGCTCCTGGGGGAGTGATGGAGGATATGCCCACCTCTGAAGGCCAGGTGAAGGAGCGAAAAAAGGCCCAGAGAGAAAAGTGCTAACATCAGGAAAAGCAGCTTCTCTGTTGACTTTTCTGATTAGTTTGAATTACAGAGCACGTCGCTGCTGTCTTGGCTGTTCAGCATCTAGCGACACACGCAAACACACACATCTGTCTCGTGTTGACCCAGATATTTTCAGTCATCATCAGCCTCTCGCACCGTGTTTCCATTACGCTCAGCATCTCCATCACAGTCCCCTGCCACATCAGTAAATATAACAATAAACACACCAGTGGCTGAAAGTGCAGGGCCAGTGGTTTCAGTGGCTATTTTTTTATTTATTTAACACTCACACTTGAATTATTAGACATGACATTTTACAATGTAATCCACTGGGAATGTGTGTGTGTGTGTGTGTGTGTGGGTTTGAGAGATTAATAGAGATGCAGTAGATGTTGGTGGTGGAGAACTTGCAGTGCAAACAAGAACTGTGTGAGGTTTATGGGCATCAGTGGTGGACAGATCCAAGATAAGAGCCATCCATCAAAGCTGGACATCCCATAACCACACAGACACACACACACACACACACACAGTTAAATGGAGCAACTATAAAGTGAAACTGGAGAAGTCTCAGTGTTTGTTTTTCTCTCTAAGACACACACACACTTACTCTGAAGGCGGTGCCCTCCTCGATGATGGTAGGCAGCTGAGAGAGGCAGATGTCCACGGCCAGGTCCCATGCTTGCCTGCAGAGAGGTAACACACACACGCACGTGCACGCACGCACGCGCACACACACACGCACACACACACACCTGATTAGAATAACAACATACTGTACACTATAAGGAAGATCCCCAGAACCACACAGACTTGTTGCACTTTAACTGAAACCTTCTCATTGTGACCTAAAGCAAAGTGAAAAAACAAAATGCATCCCAGCACTAAGTCCTTGGTCGCGGCTTATTCTTTTCAACCACTCCACTCAAACTCATTTTCCTCAGCTCACATTTTCTCCCTCCCTCTCTTCACTGTGCACATACACCTCTTTAAATTCCCGGCCGAAGGTCCTGGCGAGAGCAGCGAGGAGCCTTTAATCCCTTTCTAAACACTAGCTCTTCTCTCATGGTCATCATATCTAATTCATGGGGTTGTGTAACTCAGATCAAACCTCATCACAGCCTGTCTCTCTTTCCTTCCACTTTCCCGTTCCTTTTTTCTTGCAGCAAATTGAGCTCAGGGCCTCGACGGGGCTTTTTCCTCTCGGTTAGCACAAGTTAGGGGTTGAGTCATGTTCCCAGTCGACGCGCTGCGATGTAATGTGATGCTGAATGAGTGACACCGAGTTCATTCTTTCTGAGACTCTCTCTGCTGCTTAAACAGCTTTGCCCATTAGCTGAGAGTGACATAATAGAGTGCAAGTCTGTTATACCATGATACAATGGATCCACTGCTGTCATGTATGGGCAACATGCAAACATACAGCACAGAAGCTCTGCTGTGCTATCAGTAAACTGAGAGGTAAATTATAGCAGGTGGTTTTGAAATTCAACAAAAAGGCAATTTATCCCAGCAGTCGGGTCAGCTGCTACAAGTTCAGGGTAAACGGGAGAATTTATAAATTCAGCTGCCACTGTGGCAGGAAAAACATTTAGTCCTCCAGCTGTAGAAACACACATTAGTGCATTATTAAGAACAGGTGCTTGTCATTTTGCACTGGGTTAAGGTTATTAAACATGCTGCTATGTATCACATGTCTGAAATAATTTAATACTATAGCACTTAAAAGAAGAGGTATACTTGTAGATGCACATACCAGTACAGCATTTCGAATGTTACTTTTTAAAAAATTTTAATTATTTGCACAGCATACGATAAATGCTTGTTTTCAGCTTAGTTTCATGGTAGAGATTTGAGATTTTAGAAGGAAAGGTTTGGAACCAGTAATCCTTTAGTGGGCCCGCTGTGTAGGAATACAACATCTCATAAGCAGTGGTATGGTGGTTAAAGGTCCCATATTTTACACTTTCCTGGTGATTTACTAGGTTTTTGTTATCCAGAAGAAGATATATTTGTAGTTTTAAGAGCCAAAAACCATCTCAATGTAGTTTTACATCTCCTCTCTCAGGCTTCTCTCTGGAGCTCTGGTAGTAACAGGTCGGTGAGTCAATCAGAGGACAGGCTCTGTTTTCTCAGCGAACAAACAAAAATACAGCAGACTTCAGGTAAACACTCAGAGAAACCAAATCCTACAAAGTTGGATGTTGAATCCAGGTGGGCCTGTTTACATCGTACCCATGGATGTACAGACAACTATCACTAGATTACTTTATTAGTTTATGGAGCCCTAGCCTTTTTTCTATGACTTCTAAGCAGACTTATGGATATTTATTTGCCTTGGTAATTGATGATAATAATATTGCTGAGAAGTGTAACTCACCCTGAATCTAAAAATATGTGTGTCACGTCTGTGTTCAGAGGAAGCGAGTTATAATTTCAAGGTGAATTTTTGATGCAAACTGCAGGAACAAGGTGTGTTCCATGACATTATGTAACGTCTGAGAGAAGAAATAACCTAGTCTTCCACTTTCAAATTAAAAGTTGAGATGATCAGCAATAAAACACACTCTTCCTGCATACATTACTGCATACAGGGATTTTGCTGATACAACCTTTCTTAGCAAAATCGTTAACTAACGTGAGGTGGCTGACTTAAGGGCTCTTCCTATTAATGCTACTGTTACACTACGGTTTAGCATTTGCCATTATGTTTAACACTGTGTTACACAGTCTCAATTCAAATTGTCCATGACAGTGCCTTAAGAAGACTTGATCATATTGTGTTAGCTTGATTACCTGCTGCTAAGCAAATAGTCCTTCCATTACACACTTCCTTCTCTGAATGTCATATAGTCGGAGCTTTCTACGTGATGAAGGGACGGTTCCTGTGCTGCTGCACAGTCCTGTTGTAAAATGCTGTAAAAAATGAAGTTGGCATAATGGCGTCTTAATTTGATTCGATAAGCTCCTTTCTTTTTGGGGGATTCTGTATTACTCTGTGCCTTTTGCTTTAAGTTATTATCGTTTCTTTTTTTTATTTTTAGACGCAATAAAAAAATCCAAAAAAATTTTATTTAAAAAGATTTAACAGCTGAGGGTAGAGCTGGGTTTTAGAAAATGATCATTTTCTTACTCATTTCGTGTCATGGTAGATTTTTAAGCAGTGACAGATACAAGAAATTACTAACATAATGAAATCCTACTGTAAGGCTTTACATTTTCCTGTAATCAATGAAAGTATTTGAGGGGCAAATTAACCTTTTGGTCGCACAAAATCAATATGACACAAATACAGGTCACCCCGAAAATAATATTCTCCAAGCAGGAAGAATGGAAAAGGTATTTCTTTAGGTTTCATGACTTGAAGAAACTGTGAAATGGAATCTGTGTGGAAATATTGCTAACAAACAATCATCCATGCTTGCGTTTATGTAATCCAACGAGGAAACAAGCAGACAGAGCAGTCTAATCAGTGAAGGCACGATCACAGGGAAGAAGCTGCTGCACTGTTTGAGATGACAGCATTAAGTCGGGTGATGCCTGCCAATACAAATGAGTAGCTGTTCGCCCAACCTGTGTCTGTGTGCGTGCGTGTGCGTGTGTGTGTTGAAGGCACAGTCGACAACAGAGAGGAGTGTAGGGAACCAGTTGGCGGCTGACTAAGCTCTTTTCCCTGTTGCCTGCAGAAAATGGTGCAGCGACGCGCACTCACAAACACACACACACACACACACACACACACACATAAAAGTAGACACACACCCACGCTCACTCCCACACTGAAACTGTCCACAAGGGAGTAATCAGCCTTGGGTTTATCTGCTCTCCCTTATTCTGCTCCATTTGAATAACAATTGCTGTTTGTGTTGGGACACAAACATCGATCAGCGAGCCCCCAAATCGCTTAATTCCTCTCCTCTACTCCCCCCCCCCCCCCAAAATGCTGATCCAAACTTTTATTTTATTTTTCTACTCGCCTTCTCTCTCTGGCACTTTTGCTTTTTTATCGTCCTCTCAGTATTTTTTCCTGCGCTTTTAAAACATCGTACTGTCGTTACTCTGCCCTGCTTAATACTGCATGTGCTGGTGTGAAACAAAGTGCAACACCCAATGTCTTCGGTGGTAAACAGTGCAATGTATCCACAATCTAAAATAATGGGCCTGTATGAGCGATAAAGAAAGACTACTGCTTGCTCAAGGAGGAAGGAGCAGTATTCTTTACAGTAAATGATGCCAGGGTGTTACACAAGAAGTTGCTCCTCGAGGCAAACAGAGTGAGGGAGCGTTTTTTTTTTTTTTTTTCCCAACACGAGCCAGATAATGAGTGGGAGAGATGGAGGGAGGCATTTATAGAAAACCAAGAAGAGAAACAACAGATAGTGGAAGAAGTGTTTGTGTAACTAAAGGGAGGTAGATGATGATCTTACACAGTTTGGAGAAGCATGTAAAGTCAATGGACAATACTAGTAATGAGAATACATGGAGGACAAATCAGTGAAAGATGAAAGAAACTGTAAAACACTGTGACAACCTCAGGCTCAAGTTTCAAGCTGTGTGATTGAAATAATTCCATGAACGACTGTTTTTCGTGTGGTCTGGTTTCCCTTTTGCGGTGCCACTGTTTTTAACCCAAATCTGCCACAGCGACCGCAGTCAGAGATGTCTAACGTGTCCCACAAACTCTTTTAATACCGCTCAGAGAACAGGTGTTATATCGCCGCTTTCCATCAAAGGTGGACATATTCAGCCGCAGGTTAAATGAGTGTGGGTGGTTAAAGCAATAGCAATGCCCCTGTTCTGTGTACAACCTGTCAATCACAGCGACTGACACTGCTGTCGGTGAAGACACTGCTCTAACCGTCTTTTGAACGAGGCAGAAAGCAACACACAAAATAACCGAGAAACAAAATCATGGAAATTATACTTAGCATAAGCGAGGTGTGTGCATATGCTACAGGACAGAAGCAAATAAAAACACCTACGTGCTTTGGCTTACACTTCCTCACACTGTTTATTTTGAGAAGTTGTGAAAGTAATTAAACCATTTCATTTTTTTTTTGTATTTACAATAAATATGGGGAAAATCTTAAATTTTGTATTTTTCTTATTTTGAAACTTATTTACAGCGTAGTGTTGCATTAACACATGCAGTGGCCCTGACGGACCATTTACTTACAGATCAGTGACTGTGTATTACACTGCATGGGTAGCTATTCTACGAGTGTAAAAGATCTTGTGCCGAACGGGAGCCTACTTCCTGCTAGTAACACACAGTAACAGGAGGCAACATAGTGCATTCTCAACAACCTGTGCAGAAACAAACCAGGTGAGTGTGACACCGACAAGCACTTGTTTGTTTTCTTAGTGGGAGTTTTGTTGAGAAGATGCACATCAATTTCATGTATGAGGGCGTATTTAGCCTAGCTTAGTTTAACTTTTTCTCCTTTGTTAGGCAACCAGCTAGCCATCAAAAACATCTCAGACTCACCTGGGTTTTGTTGAGACCCGGGTATGTGTATGCGTATGTGTGTGGGCGTGTGTGTGTGTGAAGCCAGCAACCCGCTCTGTGAGGACAGGACTACTGATAAGCTGTAAGCTGTAATTAGCTCCAACGGATAAGTTACCTCCTTGTTAAATCAGTGTCTTGTTTTCTCTTCCCATTGTTACATTCCCCTCAGAGGTGAGTGTAATTGTGTGTAAAGAGTTTGTTTATTGTGCTGCTCCTCAGGCTCAGTAGGCCTCAACTCTGGATCCTCCCTCCTCACGATGCTGGTTTAACCTGAGGACCTGCCTGCCTGTATGTATGTGTGTGATTAAAAAGCTCCATTTTTCAACACAAACTCCATGCCACCTTTACTTAGCAGGGTTTGCCTGTTAGAGGCTGAGCATTTAGGCTTAGGCCTTACTGCAGTGGTCATGGGTCAAATCTTAGAGATCCTGAACAAAATGACCCCTCGAGTTCCTCATCAAGTCTTTTGTTACCCCCCTTTCCCTTAGACCAGCTTGGGGTCGTAACAGCATGCAAAGTCCACAAGATACAATGTGAACAACAGAATATAACAACTTTGGAGCTGTTTGAAGGCACTTTTGATGAAACAAACTGCTGCTGCCAGTGTTTCTGCGAAGCGAGGTTAAACATGCATTAAACAAAGATCTGTAGTGAACGCACACAACTAAAAATTCTATCAATCTTCTCATCTAATTGTAGGTATGAAAGCATATTTCCATGAATGTTAAGGGTATTCTTTTAAGCTCTGGAAACCCTCTTGCAGAGCAGCTGGAATTATCTCACTGTGCCAAAACATGGTCTGTTTTTCCAATGACTTATGGTAATAAGAAAAATTACAAAACCAAACAAAACAGTCACAAAAGCAAAAAGTACATTTGTACTTTTGAGTGGAAAACAGTTTCAGAGAGGAGTTTAATTTAATAAACAAGCCCATAGCTTTTGGGTAAATATGCCTGGAGGCAGATCTGCCATTTGTGCGGAAGTGAGCAGGTTGATAGCATCTCTTAATCTCTCTAGTAACCACTTAAAATCATTTAAATATACATAGCTTAAATATACATGTCTCTGGTCTAATGAAATACTGTATCTGTTGGGAAGTCTGCTCATTTTTTAACTGTGTGTCTTCCTCAAAGCCAAGAACATCTGTGTATCTGTGTGCATGACAAGCCTTCTCAGCTTTGTTTTCATGCGTCTTACCACATGGCGTGCATGTATGTCGGGGGCAGACGGGGACTGCTGACCGGCGTACAGTTGTATGACCTCATTATCCTCTCTGCCAATAGGAAATTGCGGAACAAGCTGGCCACCAGCAGGTCCTGACGAAACAACTTCTGGAACAAATCTAAAGACACAAAGAGAGAGAGAGAGAGAGAGAGAGGGAGAGAGAGAGAGAGAGAGAGAGAGAGGGAGAACAGACATGATCCATCACGTCGAAGACAGAAGAGGGGCGTCGGGTGAATAAAATTAACACAGAGATAGAGATAAAGATACATGTGAGGAAAACTGTGCACTTAATGAGTGAATGGAAATCAACAAGGGCAAAAGAAAGAAGTTGAATTGGAGCAAAGCAGCTAGTTCGGAGGAAAACAGAGTGGTTTGTGTCTATGCTGGCAGAATACAGAGGACAGCGAGATGCAGATTAAAGCGATGTGTCGTGGTCATATTTTCATCAACTCATTAATGTATTCACTAATTCACTTAATGGGGCCAGGCCAATCCCATGGCAATCTCTCTGGTTTATGATTGTGATTCCCCTGTTTGTGCGAGGAAGCAAATATGAGTGTGTGTGTGTGTGTGTGTGTGTGTGTGTGTGCGAGTGAAGTACTTTATGAGAGACAGTGTCTGACAAATCCAATGCCTGCTGTCAGTGTTGAGCTGTTTAAATGTTGAAGTGTTTGAATTAGTGTGTGTGTTGGATTAGGTGTGCAGTGCCTTCATTACAGGGATTCTCTCTGATGTGGGCTGCTTCATTAACAGCAGAGCCCCAGGGGTTTAAAAGGCTTTGCCAGCCATCAGCATTGTCACATTGCTATTCTAGCTGGGGTACAGTTTGTCTCAGCAAAGTCTGAGTGTGTCTGTGTGTGTCTCTGTGTGTATGTGCCGGATGCATGTGTGTGTCTGTGCATGTGTGTTGCATTCAAGGGACAGGTGAGCACAGTGAGAGACTTTATACATGCTTCCGGCAAAAGGTAAATACATGTCAAAAAAGAAGAGTGTGTGTGTATTTTCATTTGGGCTGGGCTGAGTCTGTGGGGAATGGTTAGTGGCGGTGTGTGTGTGTGTGTGTGAGTGTGCAGGTGTTTGCTTCAGTGTGTGCGTGTGCGTGCGTGCATGCGTGTGCGCGCGTGTGTGTGCAGACTCACTTTTCTGGCTGCTAAATTCTGGTTAAAATGATGTCCCCAATTACACAGCAAGACACTCCAAACACAATTCATCTCAATTTGAGGAGCCAACCTGTGCTTACTGCACCTTTGGCATTTTATATCAACATCTTCACTATTTGCAACCAATGGGGAGGCTCTGGAAGTTTTAGTTCTGCTGATGCTTCACTAGTGCACTGCTTTTATTAGGCGCCATAATTTGGACTCCCTTTGAGCTGAAACACAGGGGTCATTTCATTTTTCATCATTGCCTGGACATGTTATAAAGAACAGTTTCCCAACTTCAGTGTGGCTCAGACGTCTTTCCTCCATCGGCAGCACCAGAAGAAAAATGTTTGCTGCTTTCCCCTCTACAGAGAGGAAGTTTAGTTTCGTGTTAGAGCAGATACAGAAACTGTTTCATACATTCCTTACACTGCAGAGGCGGGTTACGGTTACTCAGCTATGATTGGACAATCACTGTTTTGGGGGAGGGGTTTAGCAACTAGTAAATTGGCTGACCACTTTTGTTTCTAGTCACCCTGTTCTAAAATTCACAAATTACATTGATGTGTTATCATAATCAGTGGCAATCGGAGACACTGGGGGGTTCCAGGTAAAGTAACCCATCAAAGAAACCCCCACATGCCCCTAAACAGCCCACATGTAAAGTATTGGGAAACACTAATATTGTTGCTGTTCCCTCATTCCCTCACATGCAGGCACTCGGTGCAGGCTAGCTACAGCACACATGGTCAGGGCGGTTTTGGGGCAGCAGCAGTGCACTGTATAGTGTCTTTATGGGAGGTTTGAGAGGGTTTATAGTTGTCATTGCAAAATGTGCCAATATGAGGGTCTATCAGGGGCCCATTTTCCCCTTGGGGGCCCCAAGCATTTGCCTCTCCTGACGGTGCACCTCTGATCATGATTAATGGAAATGAGGGACAAAGCTCTGAAGATAGGGCCACAGTTGCAGTAAATTGGAATTATTCTTTTAATCGTAGGAAATAATCTTGTTATGTGATTATACGAGTTGAAGTATGCGTCCCTGTGTGTGTGTTAGTGTGTGTGTGTGTGTGTGTGTGTGTGTGTGTGTGTGTGTGTGTGAAGTCTCACCTCTAGGCAGCACATTCCAGGCGATCGTGTCAGTGATGGCTGTGAAGATCCAGTTGAGCTCTCCGAGGGGAGTGCGTCTGTCGTTGAGCCTTCCAGGGATCCTGCACCAAACACAACATAACACAGATGGCGCCGTGTCAGCCACGCTCACTGTATGTCACATAGTTGACTTAGAGCACAAAGTGGCAACTGCTCAGTAACATTATCACAACACATCTGAAGAAATTTACATTTACAGGCACTTAGGCTCTGACTCAGAGAGACTCACAACGAATGAACGACGAACTGAGACACGGAAATATTAGACAGAGGAAGAATGTCAGAGTTTGCTTTGATTATATGTCAGATTTACATACAGAGACATTTCAAGTGACATGAGGTAACTATTCAAGCTGGGCTGTCTCAACAGACTTGAGCACAAAGGAATAAATTTGTGTGCTGATTTGAGTCAGGTAGTTTGAGCAGTGACATATCTGCAGTGTGTCACACATACATCTGATTATTGAGAGGATGGACCTTCGCTTCTCTGCCTCTTCACTAACGCCATGAGAAACATCATATGTACTGGAAATAAAATATAAAAATATTAGTGTTTGCATCTCTATGTGATTATCTTGCCTGTAATGCACCAACACCAATGGTTCTCAACCTTTTCCAACTCATAGCCCACTTCAAAATCCGTGGCAGCCCACATCCAACCTCGTAACAATACGGAGGCTAAATAATGCGTTCTCAGATCACTTTTTATTTTAATGATAATTATCAAACAAACATTCAGGACTGAAACACGCAGGAAAAAGATGTAGGAATCTTTCTTTTTTTTTGGTCGGGGGGAAGATAAATTATCGATTGACCATCTGTCTCTTGACTCTGTTTCCTTTTAATTCTTCCTGTTGATAACCAGCTATCCATTTTATCTTTTATCTTTTATCTTAACTTCTTTTCAGTGATAGCAACAAGTATAGGATGTGGTCCGGTCAGTAATTATATAAAAGTTCCTGTCATTGGCTGATCACAGTGATAGAGCTTAATACCAGAAAAAATTGAAGTGAGTTTCTGAAGATGATTTCATTTTAAAACATTTATAAACATTGTTTATATTTTTTATGAATTCAATTTTTTTCGCTAAAATTGTACTGTTTTGCAAATGATTTGTTGAACCACTGACCTATACTATCTTATATCCTACACTGACTATCTTGTACTGTCTTGTTAAATTTGTAGACTGATACACCACTAGTGTATTAAATGTGATTTTATCATATTCATTATCATTTTCTTGACTCTGATGATCGACATCTCATCACTGAAATCTAATACTATATGTAATCTAATTTTCTTTGTAGGATTTCTTCAGTAGTGAACCATTTTTCCTAAATCTTAAGTGAGCATGTCTACACTGCAGTATTCACACAGCTGTGTATCTATGTGTACTAGATGTGTAAACCGGCGCACCAAACATCTTATTTCACAGAAAACTCCTCCGCTGGTAGTCTGGCACTTAAAAAGCAGATTGTAGTTATTCTGTGACGGGAGAGTGGGAGCACCATGGAAATGAGAGCAGGGAAATCTCTTGCAGACAGAGCCCGAGATGATGTGACAGTAATCACTGTAGCAAAACCGAGAAAATTACCTTTACACCTAACTGTCTGCCTTTTAATGAACACTATGTTAAGCAGCGAGGGAAGACGGGAGGTTGAGGGCAAACACTTGCTGGCTCACAGATATTACAGTTAATGTGAACGAGTGAGTCATCTGTGTCTGAGTAAAGCAAAAGAGAGGAATATGTTTTAAATTAATGAGAAAAAATGTGGGGGAAAGGGAAGAAGGCACAGTTACAACTCAAAGCATTACTGCTAAAATTTCTACATACGGACGAGGATGTGTGTAAGTGAAAGACAAGAGAAGACTTGGTGGCTTAGGCTCATCCACTGTTTGTCATAGTCTGTGAGGAGATTTTCCCTGGCTGGAGGAGTACACCTCTTCCCTTTAAATAAACTCTGGAGACCTACAGGCCACAGTTTAGTGAAGGTACCAGTCCACTGAGGCTGACGACTATTGTTAGAGAAACACTGTGAAATCTTTTATCATCAATCCAACAAGACGATCCTAGACTGTAATTTGAAACTCATAGAGCCTTGCCGCCATGTGACCACTAAAGAAAAAAGAGTCAGCAAATGACAGCAGCCCCAGGATTCACCAGACTTCAATACGAAAAAAAATAACACGTCTCAAAAATTTATAGTTAACATTCTGCTGCCAAAATTTAACTGAGGCCACTGTGCAGGGTGACGCGCACTGAACCTGCATTAATGCTGTAATTAAGAGCAGCTCCGAGGGAGCATCAGAGGGCAGCCCACATCTCCACTCATCTGCCAACCACCCAGTCAACTCAGAGGGTGAGAGTTAAAACCTGTTTTTCTTTGGTGAAAAAATAAGTATATTATTATTACCATCATCATGATCAGTACTATAATTATTATTACACAGTAACACATTTTGAAAGATATTAAATGGCAACGTTTCTAAAATATTTAGTGATGACTGGAAAATTGAAATGTTTGGGTCGGAGTAGAAAAGCAGAATAAACATTTTTTTCAGTAATTTCTTCTATTAAGAGGTTGGCTATCTCAGTACCTGTAAAAGAAAAAAGACTTAAGTTGTGTTTCCTAAGATATTATTATTCATGGTGTCTCTTTTAAGTCCAGTAGTTAACATGTTTTTGAGTGTAATCCAGTGCAACTTCACATGGAATACTTCACTAAGAAGCCGTTTATTGTTATAAATAACACTGTAGTACAATAAATACCACAGAATCCGTCTATTTTTTTTTTTGCAAATTGTCTTTTCAGAATCAGCTGTCTACATACAGCATCCACAAACCCTGGAGTGTTCGACCTGACTTCAGATAATAGGTGCCAGTTACAACTGTAACAAAGAAGGTTGATTAACACACCCAGTGATAATGTAGAGTACGCCACCCTGTTTCCATGTGAAGCTAATGCCCCTGTATAAACATCATGTATCGTGAATTATCTCGTGGAGATATCGAGGTTCATTTTTTTGGGTTACATGACAATTATCTCATTATCTCAATCTCTTTTGTGTCCAGAAGATAATAATAATAAGCGAGATAATTAACTTGTTATCATGAGACAACATCTGTTTTATAATGAGATAATAAACTTGAAAAAAATAACAACTGTAACCATGACCACTACTTCTTCATGTGTGGACTAAAATAATAAGGTTGCATGCATTGCACAACACTGACATCCTGAAATGTTTTCTTCCAATTTCTCCCCATCCCAGAAGAATGTCATCACCCACTGTCACTCCCAAACACTATGTTTCCACTGTGGTTTTATAATCATTAGCTAGTGCACTGGAGCTCTGCCAAAAGCATGTCTTTGTCTTCACACAGATGTACAGAGTTAACACTAACATAATAATAGAAACACAATAATAATAACACTAACTAATAATACATAACTTGTTCAATGCTGAACCGCTTCAAAAACTTTACAATTAAGTGAAATCGAGCAGCCCTCCAACAAATGACTTCTAACTACACACAGTGTGTGAACTCCTCCTGACCTAAACCTCCCTTCTCCACCTCTAAGTGACAAATAATAGCAGCTGTGAAGCTCCTGGCAGGTACAAGCTCACTGTATAACCATGAGGGCCGGTCAGTGCCTGAGCACTTTGAGCGCTTGCCAAAGGTGTTTGGCAAGTCAGCAGTAAGGATGAACACTCAGCAGTTCATATCCTTTCTCAGGATCCAGTGTAATATATTGAAAAATGATGGATGGATGGATGGATGGATGGATGTTTAGGCTTGTGTCATTGATTAAAAATACTTGGAATTTCTTATTTTACCTACTTAGTTTGTGATGAATTATCCAGTTGTACTCATATTTACAGTAGGGTTGAACGATATGCAAAAAAACTCTTTTTGTTTTGGCAGATACAGCGATTACGATTGATGGTGGTCGTTTTTGCTTTTCATTTGCACTGAAAAAAAAATAAAAAAACATGTTTTTGGGTCATGTACCAAACAAACATGTTCCTTTACATCTGGAGAGTATGATTTGCAGGCCAGCGCATCTCTCTAGCACTGCAATCTTTATGGTGCTAACAATGATAAAGATTGCAGCTCCTGTGATTTGTATATTGCACTTGGCCATATTGTGATTTCCATTATATTTCGATTAATTGTGCAGCCCTAATTTACATAGGGGCTATATTCATCTCATGAATTAGAGTTTGTTGGTTTGGGAGCCCTCTGGAACGCACCTGTTTACACTCATTTGAGAAATGCTTGTCTAAATATGCATCTTTGATTAAGTTACTACTGTTATGGATGGTAGATGAACAGATAAATGTTCAGTGTGTTGGACAGACTGTGACTCTCACTCAAATTGAAGGACAGCTGAAGATCAGAAACACACAAAAATCTTTTTTTTTGTGGGAGGTGGTTGCTGAAACACTAAAACTCATACTAAAAGCTGAAGGATCCTACCCACGTGTTACGACAAGGAACCTTCAGCATGTTGTACTGTGTTGCAAGGGGGTCACGTAATAAAAGTCACAGAAATAATGAAGTTGTCTTTTGGCTTCTTGTGTTGAGCTTCCAGATATATTTACAATGTGCATATAAGCTTTGTCCCAGTTCAGGGGCCGCATCCTACACAGGACCGTCGTAGATCGCAAAGGCCGAACCGAAATGAGACACTCTGGCCTACAGAGGATTTTTGCTTTGCGGCGCCAGCTGTGCCTATCCTTTAGCGTCGTGTCACAAAGCGTGGCTCCTGTCACCTAGCACACAAAAACCTGAGGGTTTGATTTTCTGTTGAACTGAGGTGAAAGCCAATAGCCAATCCTCAGGCTCTTTGTCTGTGTTGTTTGCTGCCATATTATTTTCATTACTGGCGTGAAATGAATCTTGGGATATGTTGGGCAACAAAGGATCTAATAAGTGGATCCTTCATCGCCCAGGAAAAGAAGGTCGCATTTCTTAGCCGCATTTGCAGGAGCAATCGGTTTTCAAATGCAGCCTCCAAAGTCTGCGGCCCCTGAACTGAACACAGCTATAGACAAC